GCAACATGAGTAAACATTCCTTGTTTTTTTAGATTAGTTTCCCTTCTGTGGTACTTGGCAGTGGAAATTCCTGCCTAAAGTTGAAACTAAAGTGAGTTAAGGTCAGAGACAAAGCTCCGAGTGTAGATGGAGATTTTCTTTCAGAGCAAGTCATTTGATTGCTCCTATTGCCACCTGTTTTGTCCTGGCTTACCATGTGCTTATGGATCTCGTGCCATACTGAAAAAGTGGTGCTTACCTGGTATCTCTATTTTTTATATTTGTTGCTGGCATTCAGTTGCAGGTTGTGGGGTAGCAACCTGGTGGCTAATAGCATTTAGCAAAGCAATATTTGGGGGTCTGTTTAGAACTTAATATTTCTTGTTGGTAAAGTTTTGAAAAGGTCATTTCTTCTTTGGAATGAAGATTGGCCTAGTCTTGCTGGTTCATTACTTTGTAATGCCCTTGTGAGAGCAAAAATTTGCCTAAGGAAGCAACTGTTTGCTCAGCTTGCTCAGTAAAGAGTTTTTCATCTAGGCTCAAATTATATTTTTATGGTCAGTGACTCGATTCATTTCATGACTAAGAATCTACTTTGCTATCTCAGTACTATTGGGTAAAGTTTTAGGTTTTATGCAATCTTACAAGACTGATTTCGTTTTGGCTTGTTGGGCTCTAGTACAGTAATTCATTGCCTTGAAGCGTTATGCTTTTGCATTGATCGCCACATACATGTGGATCACCTGATTTGCTCGAGTTAAATGTCATATGCTCAACACTATTTCGTCTTGCCATGCAGCATTGTTGGAGTCTGTTCAGCTAGGTTTTGACCTTGATCTATCACTCACTTCTTGAACTCCATTCTGTTTGAGGACTATACGATTTATCTCCTGTTTTTAAATAAAGTTGTCTCCTCTTACATTAGACAATTGTGCTTGTGTGGAGCCTAATTGGTCTTTGGATAAGATGCTGTGCTTTTTCTGCTCTAAATTGTTTTGTGTATTTTTAATATCACTCCTAGGATAGTGCTTTTGCTAGCATAAGCAATGGGTAACAAAATTAGACATTCTCCACTATGTGACTTCATCTGCTTGTGGGACGATCTATGTTAATGTGACTGGTGAAGTCTCAAGGTTGTATTCCTGAAGTGGCAACAGATGGACCAACTGCATCACCTTGTAGTGAGATTTTCTTGTCCTCTGCAGCATGGGTGAGTATCCACCACTTTTAAAATTTTGAGCATGCTTTTAGTGTTGACGTCCATCAGAGACTAACCTGTGGGAGAAGAAAAATGAGTTCAGAAAACCAGCTTTAATCCCTGAACATTGCAGCTATTTAAAATTAATATATCGAGGTGCACAAGATTAAAAATAGTTAAATCAAATAGGGAAAAAATCATAAATGGCAATTGGAGCAAAGGAGGAAATCGTAGATAGCAAGTAGAACAGTGTGAAGGTTAAGACTGTTAAGTTCACTTTTCTGAGCATGTTGTTATGCTCCTTCCACTATCTTGATACATCACGTTCACAATGGGGACACTCTTAATTACAGTATGAGGAGTGATTGAAGCGAGGTACCTTGCATTGGGAAGGTACTGCCACCTGTTGTCACTGAGACAGTGCAAGAGTATTCGTATTTTGGAGATCAGTTAATCCTAGGTTCCTATTGGCGATTGTTTTTGTGCATCACTCGGAATTCTAAAATGGTTTGTGTTCATGAACAGACATTCTTAGTATTGATCTATCCTGACTAAATGATGCTATCTCCAATACTTCCCAAGTACCATATTTGACCCTGCAGGGATGCTGTTGCTCATGTGATGTTATATATTGCTTTCCAGACTGTAGATAAGCTATTAAGGCTCATTGGAAATATGACCAGTTTGAGTGGCATAACATTCAGAAAGGTGCTTTTGTCAAACTCAATACTTGTTTTTTATTAATACAGTATTTTTAAAAGTGTTTTTTGTTGCAATCAATATACAGTATTCAGTAGGTGTTTCTTGGTTTGTTCCGAGTTTCATTTCATATATCTGCTATGTCTGAATTATGCAAGTCTGAAAAATTTGACAACAATAGTGATATGTTTTTTCATAATTTCTATTAAGAAGAGGTTTAGTGTTTTCAAAAGTATGAATTAGATGTTTTTATTGGTACCCATGACCTGCAGGTACCCTGTACCTGGCCTGCAAAAGGGTCGGGAGAAGATTGCCAAATAATCTGAATGGATGCATCAGCCTACAATAGGTCAGGTCACGGGTGAGCACTGGAGACCTTCGCTAATACTGTTTATGCTTGGTAATCCGAATTATAAGGGGCCCACTCCTATTTCATGTCAGATGAACATATGACTTAGCCAAAGTTCTTGCCAGGAATGTCCATAAATTAACAAATGTGATTTTTTTGTACCACAACCTAGTTATTTCCGCTATTTACTCATGCACTCCTTCCATTTCCTCATGCACTCATGTTTATCTGTGCATACCCATTGCTTACACCTGCCATGTATTCGAAAATGATTAACGTGAGGTCATTTGAGTTGCCCAAAGATTCAGGTAAACTGGAATTGGATTACCAAGTACTTACAGTATGTAGGTTGGTTGTTGGTCGGCAAATAATCTCTGCTATTGTATATGACCCATGACAGGTAATATGGCAATTGAGCAAATACTGCACTGTAATGGGCTAGATAAAATAGAAGTGTTCTTTTTTTATTCTGTAATTTCTTTATTATTGCTATGCCATTCTTGGCAAAGTCTGCACGTAATTTGATGCTTGATAAGATAAACCACTATTAAATACACCCTTGTATTGAATGTTTGGTATACCCATTCTTTTAATTTTATATAACAATGTATCTAAACATAAGCAAGGGGGTGATAAAACATGATAGAATGGGCAAGGGGAAAGGTAAGGAGATGGGGGAAGAAGGGAAAAGTGGGGAGAAAGGTAAAATTGGGGGAGGGGGGCAGAAAAGGAGGAGGAAAGATGTGGGAAAAGGGGATAATGGGAGAGGGAAGACAAAATATGTGGTGACAGGGGGAATGTGGGAGATGGGAAAAGAAGGGTGAAATGGGGCATGGGGAAAAAGACTATTATGGACACTGCCAGATACCCATCCTAATGTGTGTAATTACCTAAGTGTAATTGCAGGATGAGAGCTACGCTCATGGTGTCCCGTCTTCCCTGCACATTTTGTCATATAATGCTTTGAAACTACTGACGGTTTTGGCCTTCCCCACCTCACTTAACTTGTTCCAACCGTCTATCGCCCTGTTTGCGAAAGTGAATTTTCTTACATTTTTCGGCATCTTTGTTTAGTTGGCTTATGACCTCTTGTTCTTAAAGTTCCAAGTCGTGGAAATTTTGTTGATTCCCATTACTATTTTGTATGTAATGACCATATCGTTTCTTTCTTCCATCCTCTGATTTTGGCATATTTAATGCCTCTAACCTCTCCTTGTAGCTCTTGTCTTTCAGTTCCAAAAAGCTATTTAGCTGCATGTCTTTGCACCTTTTCCAGTTTGTTGATGTGCTTCCTAAGATCAGCGGTTGCACCATACAACTGCTGCATATTCCAGCGTTGGTCTCACAAAGGTCGTGAACAATTTCATTAGTATTTCACAAATCATGTATTTAAAAGCAATTCTGAAATTGGAAAGCAAAGCATAGGCTCCTCGCACAATGTTCTTTATATGGACCTCAGGTGATAGTTTTCTATCTAGAACCACCCTTAGATCTCTTTCTTTATCAGAATTTTTTAAAGCTTTTTCACATAATTTGTAGGTTGTGTGAAGTCTATTTTCTCCTGTTCCACATTCCATAACATGGCATTTATTCACATTAAATTCCATTTGTCAAGTGGTGCTCAATGTGGTATTATATTATATAATACTGTACTGTACTATAGTATTATATAATATATAATATTATACTACATATAATATTATATAATAATATATATAATGTTGTACCTAATAGCCAGAATTGCACTACATAAGCAAGGCTCTGTAAGCAAGGCTTAGTTTCTCTAACAGGCAAAGCCATTTTTCTTATTTTCAAATACTGTATGTCTTTCCAAATCTGTTCATTCCTAACAATATTATTGTAACAGGGACATGTTAGGATAGGGTAGTGTAGTGTAGGATAAGTTAGGTTAGGTTAGGTTTTGTCAAATTTGAATACTGTACAGTATTAGTTTTGACTCGTCAAAAAATATCATTCTTTTTAATACACATCATTTTCTAAGGGAAAATCTTTGAAAATTGTTATATTTCGGGAAAATTCAGATTGTCAGGCACCTCTGGCTGTTGGGTACGAGATGTATATACTGTATCTATACACAGTACAGTATATAGATACTGTACATATTGTATATAAATGTATTTTTATAGTAGATACAATATACTGTATATCCATATCTATATATATCTATACTGTGGGTGTGTGTATATGTATATATATACACACTATATATATAAATATATACCCACAATATATATATATATATAGATATTGAAGTATTTCCCTTTGGTTTCTAATGATTTGGAACTCTCAGAGTCAAAGTTGTAACCATTGTAGTTCACCTCACAGATACAAAATAAATATATTTATGACTTTTAAAAGCCTTCCCTCTAAAGTAGTTAGTTATTATTCTCCTGACTTTGTTTTATCCAGTAAAGGGAACTTTATTTTTTCATCTAATGTATGAATTATTTATAGAGTAATGACACTGTAATATTAAGCCTATGCACAGCTGGTCCAAACCAGGTCAGTTAGTGATATTAAGCTGTACATATAAATTGTGTGTTTCCCATATAAATTGTTAATAAACTCCTCTATGACCCTGCTAATTTATAGTGATTGATGTATCTAGTTGCTTTTATTTTATAATTATGGAGTCTATAGTAATGGAAAGTGTAGGTTTTAAATAAAAACTGAAATATTTTTTCAAGGAGCCATATCTAATGTACACACTAGAATCTTATATGCATGTGTAATTCTATGGAATTTCTTCCTCAGAACGAAATAGAAGTTATGAGATGTCATCATTTGTAGAAACACAGGCTAGTAACTTATTGAAGGAGAGCCCGATGGAATTCGTTAACTACAACAAACGACAGTTAGCAAGAGTTTATCCACGTGGTACGCGGGTCGACTCTTCAAATTTCCTCCCTCATCAGTTCTGGAATGCAGGATGTCAGTTGGTGGCCTTGAATTATCAGACACTTGGTAAGGAAATTCATTGCAGAGAATAAGTCTCAATAACTTGGTTGAAACAAATAACCCAACTCGCACATATGAAATGAAAGTAATAACTTAATAAGGTCCAGGAGAGACTGAAATGTCATCACTTGCATTTCATTTACATGTGAATTTGGTTATAAAGAAATCAATTTTTTAGTTTTATCAATTTACAGATTATTTAACAAGCACAATATATTTACCAATATATTTTCTTTTGATGAATATAGTTCTTGCAATTCATCATAGTGCTTAAGTACTGAAGCTTGATTAGAGTGGGATATATATGGACACATATCTAGTGGGCACCATTTGTTGAAACCGAGTGACGTTACATAGTAAACATTATGTAACATTGGTCGTTTTCAACCAACAGTGCTTACTGGGTAATGGTGTGATCTTGTGTTTTCTTTCCCCTTAATATTTATATTATAAAATAGAATAGTTCAGTTAATGTTTTCTCACAAACGGTAATTACGTTGTCTATCCTTAATTTGAATACTATTTTCACACCATTATTTTTTTCTATGGAATTCTTCTGAATCCACGAAGGCTCCCGAGGCTTCCATTGAAGTCAAACCACGGTTTCACACAATCCCCCAATGCACTCTGGCTTATTCAGAGTGCATGGATTGTAACCTGGGATTCAGAAGAATCCCACATTGCAATCCTTTTACCATGTCGTGATCTAGTTGTCTAAAGCATGTGCTTGGGAGTACCCAGACCATAGGCTTGAATCCTCTTGACGGATCTTACGAATTTTGATTTTCTCATCGACGCATCATGTTAATGTGATTTCTGTGTATTAAAAGAGGAAGCATCAGAGGTAGAATTCCTGGACGACAGAATCAGAGTGCACAGGGGAATTGTGTGAATCCCTGGTTCAGCTTCAGTGGAAGTCTCAGGAACCCTCGTGGATTCAAAGAATCCCAGGTTGCAATTTTTTTACCGTATCATGGCCTAGTTGTCTATCATGGATCTTACAGATTTTCTCATTGATACTTCATGTTAATGTGATTTCTATGAATATTTATATTTTAATGTAGTTTTATTTCTGTAATTATATTTTAAAAATTCAATGCATTTCTGAGCTAAGATCCCTTGGATGCTCCCTGAGCTAGCACCATTATGGTTCACTTAGGCTTGTATCTCATACTAGGATACATGTTATATATCCTAGTATGAGATACATAACATTCATACTCTCTGGAGATACCTGGATGATACCTAGTTCTTCTACTCCCCCAAGCCCGGCCCGAGGCCAGGCGCAATATACAGTACCATAATAGGTGCTTTTGTAAATGGTCTTGTTCAGAAAAAGGGTGATAGTGGCGAGTCTAACTCAAGCCTCCATTGAGGGACCAGTTCCTTATAAGGTGAAATAATAATGTCCTTAATCCTTAAGGGGTCTCTGAAGAGATTTACACCCATGTGCAAGAAAAAATTCAATTTTTTTTCGTCTTCTAAAAATGTTAATTTGTGTTCTCTGAGCATGGGGGTGAAAAAAATCGTAGGCGACATATTTTGGGCGCAATAGGCCAAGGAAATCTGGCAAAATTTGGCTGTTGACAGAACAGTCATCAGAGGCAGTCATCGTCACCTGAGCTGTCAGGTGGGAGTTGCCACAAAGATATTATTATCTAAATATTTCAATGTCTGATTTTTTCTTAGTTTTTTGCATTAATATTATTCAATAGTGTGTAGTGTGATAGATTTATATAATGTGTGAATCATCATTATACTCAAAAGTATGGTGTTCATATTACCCTGGAAACACAAACCGAAACTGTCCCTATTTTCCGCTTGTTACAGCTTGTAATAAAGTTGTTACATCTTGGCTTAACATGTTTATGATGTATTAGAACATTGTTACAACTTGCTATATTGGTTGTTATAACTGGTTAGGAGGTGTTAAAACTTGTTTGAACGTTGTACCAACGTCATAATTTCTGTGTATGTTTGGTGAGATTAGTGATTCAATAATTACGTTCATAAAAACAAATAGTTTTGCTGTTATTACACTATATACACACATTATATATAAGTATCTACATGTTTTGTTCACCACAACTGTACAACTAAGCTGATATAGTTAATTCAGGCAATAAGAGACGTCGCTACACACACACACACAAGAACAAGAGGTCATAGATTTAAACTAGCTAAACACAGATGCCGAAGAAATATAAGAAAATTCACCTTCACAAATAGAGTGGTAGACGGTTGGAACAAGTTAAGTGAGAAGGTGGTGGAGGCCAAGACCGTCAGTAGTTTCAAAGCGTTATATGACAAAGAGTGCTGGGAAGACGGGACACCACGAGCGTAGCTCTCATCCTGTAACTACACTTAGGTAATTACACTTAGGTAATTACACACACACAGTCAGCTGCCTCCCTCACTCATTCAAGGTTAGGCGCACTAAAATTTCTCCCACAACAATACTGTTTGTAGTGTTATTACACTATATACACACATTATATGTAAGTATCTACATGTTGTATGCACTGTAACTGTACACCTTAGCTTGTAGGGTGCCCAAAGAGCAGTGGCCACCCTCTACACAGTTAGACAAGTCATGCAGACAAAGTCACCTCCATCACCCAAATGGCTCCTCCCAACATAATACTTTTGCTGTTATTACACAAATACACACATTATATGTATCTACATTTGTGTTCACCATAAAGAACCACTGAGCTGGTATGGTGAATGCAGACAATAACAGGTGGCCACACAGTCAGTAAACGACGCTATCTCCCTCCCTCTCTCAGCATTACTCCTCCCACACAGCGCTAATTATCACAACAATCCTGCTATTATCACAATCCTGGTCATTTTTATCACAGTCAGGGGTCATCTGTAATATCGTCATCGCTAAATAATAGCAGTTACATATTTATTTTGACATTTTTAGGTGATGCTGTGGTCACAAGCTGAACAGCAATACTGTTAGCTCATGCTGCGTGCGCCAGCCTTGGTTGCTCCCACAGTACTGTGGCTTTCACAATGGAGAATATTGCCCATGATTTTTTTTTTAAACATGGTCTCTGTTTACAAGAGCCCTGAGGAAGCTGATGTGAACCCCCTGTAGTCGCGGGCCATTTGACTCACGCCCGGCACCCAATTACGTATATATACGCCATGCGCACGGTAGGACATGTTACTCAAGGCGTATATATACTCCATGCACAGTTTAATGGTTAATGCTGCTTATTACAAATTATTGGCAACACTATGAAAGCCAAATATCACCCTGCTACTGGTTAAGCTAAACTTCCTTATCACAAGTATATTAGTAGTAGAAGCAGTCACTTTATCTTGTGCTTAGTGTCCACCTACATAACTCTACCTCTATGGTGTCAGTAAGATTAGTTTTTAGCCGTTTAATTTATTGTGATTATTCTCTCAGCACAGGGAGTTCTATCTATGCTTTACAATTCACTTCATGGCATGTATGACTAGTTTTCTGAGAGGGCATTCCCAAGCAGCTCCACGAGACGAGACAGGGTCAGTTGATGCCTTTGGGAGCTAGAACCAGAATCTGGCTCTTAATGAAGCAAGGAGTGTTTGTGGATCAGCAATCAGGCCAATACTAACAAGAGATTCATTAGAAATCAAACATAGTTCTGTGATAGCCTATGGGTCTGTCACTTAAGCTCTTCAGCTGTGGCTTTGTCAATAGCCAGTGCTTTGCTGAAATTAGATTTTTGTCTCCAGTGTTCTTGTGTGTTAAAATCAAAGTGTTTGAGATGGCAACAATTTTGTTGATTGGTGCATCTCGCTTCCTTGAAGTTCAACTCTCTGGTAGCATTTTGGCAGTTCTCCAAAAGTGCATTGTTTCATTCAAGTGTGGTTTCCTCTTGGTGTCTGCTCTTGTTGTGGTCTTCCTTAGCTGTAGCCAATCTTTTGGCTTCTGAAGAGTAGTCCTCAGCATGGTTCATAATATGGTGCTTGTGGATGGCCTCTCTCATTTTCATCTAATTGGGACACAGTGGGAGGTGAATGAGACTTCCTTTCTGTAGAAATAGAATTTGTTCAGCTTCCTCTATATGAAACCACAACATGCCTGTGACTTAATTTCCTAACTAGAAAAAGTTTGTTGTTCAGAGCCCAGTGACAAGAATTTTTTGCTTGCAGCTTCCTGCACTCTTGGCCAAAAATGGGTCTCATTCCATCGGAGTTCTCTCTTTATTCCAACTTGGCTTCTCTGAGCTGATATAAACTGTATCCTCTACCCTGTGTTCATCTTATGCTTGTGTGTCTGGGCTTTGTGCCTCTCAGTTTGGTCCCCTGTTCATAAAGCCATGCATCTTGGCTCCTTGTTCCAAGGCCTTCTCAGTCTTCTACAGGTGATAAACCTCATTCATCTCTGCATTCATGATCACTGCAAATTTATCACTGTTATGGCTTTTTACCACATCCTCGCAAATAGCCTATGTTTTCTGGAAAGTTGAACTTTTCAGCTTTGATTCACAACCTCGCCATGGAGGTCATACTCTGTATCTTTAGCTTCAGTATCTGATTTATTTTTGTATTCTCTTGCTTTAGTTCAGTAAAACAGGATAAGTTGCCTCAGGGAGCATTTAGAGGCCTCGGCTCAGGAATAGGCTGATGAACACAAGAAAAATCTTCAAAATGCTCCTTGGTCAAGTTGATTTTTGCTGCCACCTAGTGATGGCAGGGATACTTTACTTCTTTAACCAGTAGTTAAATAGAGTGGAAATTAACTTTCCATTTGTTGCCAGTTATCAATTGCAGGGGGAATGTTAAGGGTATTGCGCTTTAGTGTTTTAGGAACTGGTCCCTCAGTAGTGGCTTCTTATGCCACTGTAGCCCTTCCCCTCCTTTTCCTTGACAATATAATTTACAAAGATACTTGCCATGGTGGTGGATAAGGAAGATGGGTCTTTATCAGCCCATAATGGCTCTGGCTCGGGCTTTATCTGAGGGACCATCCCAGAAATAAGCGTTTCCCTATGTTCAATGCTCTATCTTCTTTTTCAGATCTTGCAATGCAGTTGAATCTAGGAATTTTCGAGTTTAATAACAGATCTGGATACCTTCTTAAGCCCGACTTCATGAGAAGACCAGACAGGCGATTTGATCCATTTGCAGAGTCAACAGTAGATGGTATTATTGCTGGCACAGTTTCTGTTAAGGTTAGTAGAGAAAAAAAAATGACGTTTAATCAGTCAATGCTACATTGTTCCATAATATATCATTTTAAAAGTTAGTCTTCTAATCGAGGGAGATCAAGGATTAAGGGTTCAATTGAAGTTTACTGATGCCGCTTCACTTAAAGCGGGCATTCTCAAACTGGGATTTGTAATCATCTAGGGGTAAACATTAAGGTTTCCAGGAAGTCCATCATTTCAAAAGCTTTTTAGAAGCCTGTGTAGTACCATTGTACAAAGAATTAATGTTAATTTGTTAACCTTTTATTTTCAGTGTCTCGGTAACTGGGGTTTAGTGTGTGTCACATCCACCATACAAGGGTTAAATAAATGCAGGTAACCAGTCTTAATACATATACAGTGTTCTATAAAACTATAAATCCCAAGGAGGAAAGGAAAGACCTCATGTTTACATGCACCTGGAGTCTGGGCAGACTGCTTGCTTTCTGTGAGGTCCTGGGCCATTTTTCTTGATACCCGCTATGTTGTAGGGGGATGCCGAAGATACTACGTATAGGTGGGTATGATGGTGTGATAACTTGGGGTATTTGGTGAGAAAAAGTTTGGAGAATCACAGATCTAAATAGAGTTTAAGCTGAAATTTTGTAAAAAGAGTTCACTAAGAAGGGATGCCCCCTTCTTAAAAGAATACAGGGGAGGTTAGAACGAAATCTGGGAGGAAGCAAAATGGATGAATGAAGAGAGAGAGAAAATAATTATCTTTGCTTCAAGATAATAGGACACAGGGAGAACAAGAATGGAGACAAGAGAGATGTCATAATATACACACAGAAAATACTGAAAGGACAGGGTTCCAAAATGGCACATTAAAATTACAATGAACTGGAGTGAGAGATATGGTAGGAAGTGTAAAATAAATTAAATTAAGAGTTAGGGTGCCTTAAATAAGCACAATTAGAGAACACAGTGTAATGATCAGAGGCCTATGACTTAACCTCCTGCCAACAAATATAAGAAATGTCACTGAAATGGTGAAAACATTCTAGAGGACACTACTAGTTTCTGCAGGAGATACCGCACTGGCCTGGCTGGTTTATAAAGTAAGAGTAAACATAGTACTGTATATATACTGTACAGTGAAACCTCTGGTAGTGATCGTCGTCCTTTTTGGGTTACGAATTCAGTTTCTTCAGAAAATTTGAATCAGATTACGAACTTTGTCTCGCCTTGCGACTTTGTTGATACACGTAAGGGTCGACCGAGCAAGTGGTTCCTGGTGGCACGGAAGCACACTTCTGTATCAGTGTCATCCGTGTGGTGACGATTGCACTTGAATATTGTATTAGAGAGGACAACAGGATGAATGGTGGGAGGACTGGATGGATGGATGGATGGTGAGCAGACTGAATGGTGGGGGAGCTGGATGGATGGATGGTTACCTTATCTTGAGGTTACCTTGAGGTGTTTTCGGGACTTAGGATCCCCGTAGCCCGGTCCTCGGCCAGGCCTCCTTGTTGCTGGACTGGTCAACCAGGCTGTTGGATGTGGCTGCTTGCAGCCTGACGCACGAGTCACAGCCTGGTTGATCAGGTGTTCTTTGGAGGTACTTGTCAAGTTCTCTCTTGAACACTGTGAGGGGTCGGCCAGTCATGACCCTTATGTGTCGTGGAAGAGTGTTGAACAGTCTCGTGCCTCTGATGTTGATTGAGTTCTCTCTCAGAGTACCGATTGCACCTTTGCTTTTCAACGAGGGTATTCTGCACATCCTGCCATGCCTCCTGGTCTCATGTAGTGTTATTTCTGTGTGCATGTTTGGGACCAGCCCCTCTACTATTTTTCATTTGTAAATTATTATGTATCTCTCCCACCTGCGCTCAAGAGAATACAGATTTAGGCATTTTAGTCGGTCCCAATAATTTAGATGTTTTACTGAGTGGATTCTAGCAGTAAAGGATCTCTGCACTCTCTCCAGGTCAGCAATTTCTCCAGCTTTGATAGGGGCTGTCATCATGCAGCAGTATTCCACTCTAGAGAGCACTAGCATCTTGAAGAGTATCATCATAATTGGTATAGCATCTCTAGTTTGAAAAGTTCTTGTTATCCAACCTGTTATTTTTCTTGCAGTTGTTACTGCTACTTTATTGTGTTCCTTAAAGGTAAGGTCTTCCGACATGAGTACACCCAAATCCTTTACATTGCTTTTTCGTTCTATGTTATGATTTGATTGTGTTTTGTACGTGGTCTCTGCTTTATATTTTAATTTTTTCCATGGCGCAAGAGCTGGAACTTATCCTTATTAAATACCATATTATTTTCTTTAGCCCATTGAAAGACCTGATTTACATCTGATTGGTAGGGAAACTGGATGGATGGATGGTGAGAGGACTGGATGGATGGTGAGGGGGAACTGGATGGATGTTGTGGGGAACTGGATGAATGGCAAGGCGAGTAGGACGGAGAAACTGGTTGTGGGGAAAACTGATTGGGGGGAGGGAAATTGGTTGGGGGGGGGATGGGAAAGAAATTCTTTTAGAAACACGAGCCCTAGAATCATGTAAGGTTAGAACACATGGAGGGCGAGTGGGTGGGCAGGTGATAGAGTGGACGGATGAGTAGCAGGGTGGAGGGGGGGCAGCAGTGGTTGGGCAGGTGGGCAGTAGTGAGATGGTTGGCAGAGTGGGGCATAGTGGGTGGGCATGCAGGCAGCAGAACAAGTGGGTGGCTTATGGTAGACTGAGGAGGTGGGTGGCAGGGCAGGTATAGAGTGGGTGGGTAGCAGGGCAGTCAGGAGACAGTGGGTGGGGCAGATGAGTAGCAGGATGGGTGGCCAGAGTGGCAGTGGTGAGAGAAGGCAAGCTTCTGGCTAGGACTAACACAGAAGCTGGTCACCCCCGGTCCCTTCTCAATATCCCTCATCCCCCACACAGGTCCCTCCCTGCTACCTTCATCTCCCCATCTAGCACCTTCCCCGCTTCTTCCATCTCCTTATCCCCTCACACTGCCCCCCCCCCCCGAACTGAACCCCTCCCAGCCATATGGACGGCATTAATACAAGAGTTGTTACATTCTTGTACGGTGGGCTTCGTTGTTACCAGCTGATAGATTGGGAGGCAGACTCCTCGAGTGCCTGACATTTAACTTATTGTTTGCTAACTGATTGGTTGCGACTGTGAATGCGTGACTGACCGTAAATGCTTAACCGGTTGATACAACAACAGTGAATGCCTGACTGCCTTTGGTTATAACTGCCTGTGGCTGGTCTTGACTGAATGCTTGACTGACATGTTGTGACTACCTGACTGGCTTTGACTGGTTCTGACTGGTCCTGACTGGCTGCCACATAACAGAGGCAAAATGTGTGAAAGGAAAATCTGGAACCAGTGATGCAGATATGAAAGTGTTTAAGGCAAGCAGAGGATAGTCTCACCACCACTTCCGTCCTCCTCACCCTCCCCATACACCAACATCACTCCTCCCTCCCTCCCTCCCTCCTCACCATCTCTCATACGCCAACAAGAGCCCCCCTCAGCAAAGATAAAGTACAGTTAAATGTTCACTTGTTTTATTTACTGTTTTAAGTTAATATTTTTGGGTGTGTGGAACAAATTAATTCAATTTACATTATTTCACATGGAAAAATTTGTTTTGGGTTGCAAATTTTCGGTTTACGAGCCGTCGCTGGGAACGGATTAAATTTGAAAACCAAGGTACTACTGAATATTGAAACTAGTGTGCATTTGCCACTGCATTACATGTTAACATATGCTATAACTGATAGTTAATTATAGTTTAAAAAATTTGTTATTTTTATTCCATTGCAGGTGATATCTGGCCAGTTTTTGTCTGACAAGCGTGTTGGCTGCTACGTTGAAGTCGAGATGTATGGTTTGCCTGCCGACACAGTTCGTAAGCGATTTAGAACTAAAACTGTTCCTAACAATTGCATAAATCCTGTTTGGGATGAAGAACCATTTGTTTTTAAAAAGGTAAATAAAAATACATGATGTAATTTTTGAATTTAGGAATACAGTATTTGAATTTATTTACTCAATTGAAACTGTGCAATTCAAGCATAATTCATCAAGCTATTGATGAAAACCCCCAATGTTGAATGCAATGAAATGCCTTGTTCTGCTAGAGCCCTGGTGGGTTCCCTCAAGCAAACTTGACGAGATTGCTCCATACTAAAAGAGTCACATCAGTCACTGGAGTTCTTTTTGACCTACTAGGAATCAGAGCCATAATTTGGTCCCCTCCCCCTTCCCTCACAGAGGAGCAGACCCAGTGGGCCTGTTTGGTTGCTTGAACGTCAACCATCATCAGGGAATAATGTCTGACTGATGTTAAAGCAACTAATAATGCCCACTGGGAAGAGTGAGCGACAATTTGCCATCTCGCCGGGAGAGCATCCAGAAGTGTCTAGTAATCTAGTAGTTTGGATATAGACAACAGGCACAAAACATCTTAACACTATCTATCTATTATTCCTAAGTTCATCATTATGAATCTTTAGTTTCAAAGAACTTCATTAACTAATTACTTAATACCAATGACAATGGGACACTGACATTCAAAATTTTAGTATAAATAGTTCCCATTTAAACTGTTTACCCAATAATATATAATGGGAAAATACTAATCGATTCCACTTTTCAGGTGGTATTACCTGAACTTGCCACTATACGAATTGTAGCATATGAAGAAGGTGGCAGAGGGAGTTTGGGTAATCGTGTCCTTCCTATAGTAGGCCTTAGACCTGGATATAAACACATAACGCTACGAAATGAGGCCGGACAACCACTGGGAATTACGTCACTCTTTGTACATGTTAAGGTAGGTCTAACATTCTTACTCATTATTGGGTAATTCCTTATTTACCTGTAGTCAGTTCCATGAGGTCTACTTCCCAAGCTCAGCCTAGGACCAGGCTTGTCTTGTGATAATTTATAAATAAATTATTATTAGTATTTATTATTATCAATAATTTATTTGTGGAAGTGTACATATGATACATGAACATTGGAGCATTTGAAGGCAAGAGAAGTACAATACATAAGGTTACTAATACGTTGAGCATTTTGGGCATATTTAATTTGATCTGAAAGGCTGTTAATTGGAGCAGCCTGCAGGCCATGCCAATTAAAAATGTTTCATTTGATTTCCAGATTATATCAAGAATTTTTTAGGAGATTTGCATCAAATATAAAAAGTATAAGCATTGGCATAAATTTGCAGCTATCTTTTTTTTTAGCATTTTTACCCTCCACTATCTACCTAACTTACAACAATAATTATTTTAAAAGATGTTGAGGTACTGTACCTACATTTGTGAACAAACATCTTGGGAACAAAGTGACCTTTTTCTTTTAGACTGCTCATTTACAGAACACACTACAATCTAAATGTATTAAAACTAGACTTGAGATTGGTTCTTTTCCCCCGTTTCCTGGCTGTAATACCGGGCTCTCTCACCCTCCTGACAGGCAGACAATTGCTCATTTTCAATGAGAAAGTGATAGTTGTATTATAGGTCAGCAGCAGTGCTACTAGAGTGGATAGAAGTTCCTCTACATTTAATGTGGTTTTGGAAGGAAAACAACTAGATTCCCATTATCAGGCCCCATTCCCAGTGGGCACAATATCCACGATTAACATTAATTCAACATTAAATCAGCATTATCGATGTTAGTTTAATATTGAATCAATGTTGATAATGTTTATTTAATGTTATATTATTGTTACTCCTTGATATTGTGTCCACTGGCTATATGATGGCTTTCTGGCAAATACATGTCCAAGTTTCAGCTTTAATTTGTTATACCTGCTTCTAAGGCACACACTTGCCTATCAGAAGTGATCCTCTACATCTCCAAGTTTCCATTTTAACTTGTTATAGCTGTTTCTTAGGCATTTGCTTGCCTGTCAGATGTGGTTAGGCTCCTTGATAGTCAGTAGCTCGTCTCTCAGATTCAAGCCGAGATGGCTTGGCTGGAGGAGAAGAGTTCATTGCCTGGCTTTATGTTAGCTTCTGTGGCAGCTGTAGCCTTTTTCATGAGGCTAGCTCCAGTCCTCTGAGGCTGCAGAGTTCATTACCCAGTTAGGGTTCCTTTATTCTGTGGTTTTAATCTTAAACAGAATAATTAAAAAACTAGTATGTGAACTCCAATTGCCATATCCATAAAATTTACAAAATATCTGAAATTACCTTTATGTTCAGGATTATCATTTTGAATGTTTTTTTTTTTTTAATTCTGACCTTCGATAATTCAGTTTTGGAGAGATTGACTGTTCACTGTACAATATTTGAAACATCTTATCTTCCTGGGAGACTAATGTATTATCTTTGTAACAAGTGATAAGAAAAGAAGTTAGAGTACTGTACATCTGTTTTCCAGGTTGGTGACTACGTTCCTCATGGTTTAAGCGATTTTGCTGAAGCTCTAGCCAACCCCATCAAGTATCAGAGTGAACTGGAGAAGAGAGCACAGCAGCTCTCAGTTTTCCAGGATGACGAGGAGATGGAGGTGAGTGAGGGTGCTATAATTTTTACAAATACTAATTTAACAAAATTATATTAATTATAGTGTGTCTTTACAATGTTATGAAAAGCATAAATTTTCCATATTTTTTTATGGAACAGGCCACAATCAAGGTAAGTTGCCCACCTAGCGATAATGTGTTACCAAGTTTAAAAGTGCAAGATGCAATAAATATAAATTGTAATCTAAGTGTGAGGTGTTAAGAATATCGCGTTTTAACCATAAGGTTACTTCCACAGACTCGTCTGTAAGGACGAGTAATCAATGTGTATCCGGGAAAATGAATGCTGTCTAACAAAGGTCACCTAGTAGTGACTATGAGGAAATGAGGTTTAGCTCTTTATGCCCTGCATGGCAGTAGTCTGGTTATAAAATGACTGTGTACCGAAATAATGGGATGGTATAGCACTATTTTAAGATTAGCCACAGATAGTACCTTCTCACAAGCAGTGTGTCATAATAATATTAATTAGAAATGCTGTATTAGGTGACCCTACATGAAGAAGGGATACACATTTCCCAAGTTGCTGAAAAGAAGTGTGATGGAACCTTGTTGAGAGTAATAATAAAGTGCACTTAATCAACTAATAACAGCATAGTAGATGGAGTGTGTGCGTGCGAGTGTGTGTGAGAGTATTTTTAAAGCTAGTAAGTTTGTTTATTCAAATCATTATAGATTATGTCCACAATGAAATTATATAATTCATGATAGCTTGTAAGGCTTTTTGAGGTCTCCACCCCCCTCCCCATGGCCAGTGACTGACATTTTCCAGGATGCAACCCACAACAGTTGCCTCACTCCTAGGTACCTATTTACTACTAAAGTGAACAGAATGTTCATGTGTAAAAAAAAAATACAAATGCCTCATCCTGCCTTGGAATTGAATCAAATATCTTTCAATTCTGAGCTGAATGCACTCAATAAATTCTACTCATATGATTTACAACACAAATTATTACACATTCATTGCGGCCAAGCTGTAACTGCCTGGACAATTTTTTATAGCACGTTGCCTTATTTAAAATATTAAGCAATGTACAAGATCTAATAATTTTCTTAGTGTCAATATTTTGTTTACCAATATTTATTTTATGCCATAACAGCAAGAAGGCATAGATGGTGAACCTCCTCATACTCCAGCTAAAAAAAACGAAAGCCAGGGGCTTAGTGGAGAAGGCTCGTTAATTCCTGGGGAAGAAGGACAGGTTAAGGTCTTCAAAACTAAAAGTAACGGTGAAGTTCCAGATGCGACAGTGCCTGCACACGAGAGCACACCCATAGGAGCACGTATGTTCTATCGAGTCTTTGAGAATACATTCTTATGCTCTGTATTTAGATTTTGTAACTGGTCAGAGATCATTGTTATTTTATTTTCAACAAGCAGATTAAAACTCTTGATCATATTTTTTTGGAACATTAGAATCAAGAAAAATGCAGGAATCCTATTTGCCCACACAAGGCAGCTTCTTTTTGTTACCCAGTAATTTGTTCCATAAATCAACCACCCTATTTCTAAACTAGTATTTACCCAGAACTTTCCTGGATTTAATCCTATCTAATCCATATCTATTCTTTTGTGTTCCGGTTTGTGTTGGTATATTTTAACACAGTATTTATTTATTATTATATGTATTTGATATTTGTTTGTAGTTACATATATGGAAGATCAAGTTATGGTGTCTTTTCCAAATATTTTTAAGTCCAGTTTCAGTCAATGAAAGATCTTTACCATATCTCTCAGCTATATTACAGCATACAAAAAAACAAAGATGCAAAACCTGACATTTCTAAAAAAGAAGTTATATTATAGGGAAATATTATATTAACACTGTAAAATTGTGTATTATATATTTAAGGACAAAGGTAGATGAGCTTGGGCATAGCAGTAGTTGTAGACAGTGCTTACCTAACATGTAAACATGCTCATTGTTCTCTGTTATATCAATAAATTTAGAATATTATACATTTCAAATAAATTAGTGCTTTGACTGTAGAATGCAAAATGGTTTGATTGATGAGAATAGTAATTAAATTTAAAATGTTTAATTAATTGGAAGACCAATTTTCTACAAAACAAAAATAACTTGTACCTAACCAGAAACCCAAGAAACTCGCCTAACCTATGAAGGCCAATACATAGAAAGTGTCACTTATGGCATTTTAATTTTTACCAATATTGTACATACCTATTGTATACCTGTTGATAATTCTGAGGATCAACATCCCTGTGGCCCGTTCTCTGACCGGGCCTCCTGGTTGGTGGTGTGGTCAACCAGGCTGTTCAGTGCAGCTGTTTGCAGCCTGACATAAGAGTCAGTCTGATTGATCAGGTATCCTTTGAAGGCATTTATCAAGTTCTCTTTCAAACACCAAAAGAGGTCAGCCAGTTTTTCCCTGTATGCTACTGTCAGAGCACTCTTATTTAATGCTTAATTAGTAATAAGATAATTATATTGCTTTCAGTACTGTTTATTGATAAGGGTATATAAGACTTGGAACACTTTGCTAACCTCTTGCCTGTAGCAGCTGACTAACGTATGGTGGTGGTCTTGCTCCGCAGGTCGGCAGAACTCAACCAAGCCTCACTTGAACACAAAACCAAGTGAAGAAAAGCCTGATCGAGAAAAGGATTGTTCTCTCACTCTTCTAGGTACATGCCAGTGAGCTTTATAGTAGTACTAAACTGACATAATAACCTTTTAGTATCAGATATTTTGATAACACTGATATATGCTATTTAATAGATGATCTACGTAGTTGGGATGAATTTGATCATTATTGCAAATCTGTGGTTTATTAACCCCTACACTAGTTCAGTTGCTGTTTGTGATTACCTCCCATGTGCAAATCACTGAATTTTGTAAGTGATTTGTAATCTATTTTTTTGTGGAGCACACAACAATGTAGTTCTGTACTTTTAAATAGCCGAGCAGTCCAAGGGTTAACATTCATATTTGTCAGTATTCATTTATATTTAGTATTTTTGTGGCCATGATAATTGATCAGAATAACCTCTGTAGAATATCTTACAAGATACTTGCGTGAACAATATTTTGCATGTTGTTGTGTTACCCTCATTGGTGTTTATTGCAATAACTCCTTTATCATAAACGTGTGCTGCCTTTGTAGTAACTCTCCATTGGGTACCATTGATGAAAGTGACTGACATTACATACTGAACAGTATGTAACATTGGTCACTTTCAACCAATGGTGCCTATTGAATCCACTTTGTGCAAGTTGTGTACCTGGGTTCCAGGTTGGGCTTGGAGAGCAGAACAACTCTCAAAACCCACTATGGGTAAAACTTGGGAGGTGCATTTAATGCATTATTATAGCACAAAAATATTATCATATATAAATATAATTTTGTTGTACAAGTCAGAATTTTAAAGCCCGTGTTACTTTGATGATTTGTTAATACAGTATACCTTGAGGTTGCCTTGAGGTGCTTCTGGGGCTTAGCGTCCCCACAGCCCGATCGTCGACCAGGCCTCCTGGTTGCTGGACTGATTAACCAGGCTGTTGGACGTGGCTGCTCGCAGCTTGACGTATGAGTCACAGCCTGGTTGATCAGGTATCCTTTGGAGGATATAGCACAGGATCCTTATATTATGATGGGATTCCACATGAATAATTGATTTATGTTGAATTATGTTGTTATTGGAGATATACTGTATATGTGTCAAGACAATTAGTTTTGATAGGCCTGCATAAATTATAAAATTTACATAGGTCTACTACTTCAAAATAACATTTCATACATATAATTTATTATAATACACTATGAACTATATTATATATATATATATATATATATATATATATATATATATATATATATATATATATATATATATATATATGCGAACAAGCCTGAATGGTCCCCAGGACAATATGCAACTGAAAACTCACACCCCAGAAGTGACTCGAACCCATACTCCCAGATGCCACGCAACTGGTATGTACAGTATGTATAAGACGTATAAGGCGTCTTGTACATACCAGTTGCGTGGCATCTGGGAGTATGGGTTCGAGTCACTTCTGGGGTGTGAGTTTTCAGTTATATATATATATATATATATATATATATATATATATATATATATATATATATATATATATATATATATATATATATATATATATATGTCGTACCTAGTAGCCAGAATGCACTTCTCAGCCTACTATGCAAGGCCCGATTTACATAATAAGCCAAGTTTTCATGAATTAATTGTTTTTCGACTACCTAACCTACCTAACCTAACCTAACCTAACTTTTTCGGCCACCTAACCTAACCTAACCTATAAAGATAGGTTAGGTTAGGTAGGGTTGGTTAGGTTCGGTCATATATCTACGTTAATTTTTACTCCATTAAAAAAAAATTGACCTCATACATAATGAAATGGGTAGCTTTATCATTTCGTAAGATAAAAATTAGAGAAAATATATTAATTCATGAAAACTTGGCTTATTAGGCAAATCGGGCCTTGCATAGTAGGCTGAGAAGAGCGTTCTGGCTACTAGGTACGACATATATATATATATATATACACACACATATATATACACATACATGCATGCATGCATGCTACTGAATGACAGGAAAAGACAAGGCCTCAGATCAGCTCCAGACATGGCAACACAGGTACAGTGCTAGAAACCAATTCTGGAAAAAAGAAAAAAAAAAGAAAAAGGGATCTGACAAATGCCACATGTACACAACCCACAACTTTCACAACTGACAATGCAAACAAGAGGTAGAAGAGGCTAGCCATGAAGATCACCAATATGGCCAAAAGCAAAAGTGGCATGAAGACTGACACGCACATGGTGCGCAAAGAACACTGGTTCCTCCCCTATCCTCTGAACCCTAGGGCTAGCTGAAATGAGCCAATACGTAGCCAGCAGAGGTCACCCAGCAAAGAATTTGATGAACAGAACAGGAAAATGCTGAACACTGGCTTAGCCAAACTGTATGACAACAACGCTTTCCTCAAATTGACAATGAAGGGAGAAAAGAAGCAACTCACCACTCGAAAACTGGCTAGTCCAGACCACCTAAAGAAACCAAACAAATGCCACAGTGAGGACAACCAGGAACTAGATCCATGAAGATGAGCTATATTCTGAAATCCCACACGAGTAGCATTTCCCCAACCATCACCAGAGCTAAAAGGCTCTGGTGATGGTTGGGGAAACAGCTTGAAATAGTCAGGGGGGACTATCAAAAAGCAGAGATATTGCATGTAAAAGGCCCAAAATACAAAGCAATCCAAACAATGATGGAAAAAAGGCTGCAAATAATGCAGAAAAAACTCAAGGATATTTCTTTTAGTGGAAAGAGCAGAATAAAGCTAGGAAAAAATTGCATAGAAGCGAACCAGAGAACCCTGACCATACAGTGGTAATGTAGAAAGCAGCCAAACTCTAGATGAAAAAGCAGGAAACCCAAAGCAAGTGACCAAAAGGCAACCCATAACTATGGCTCCAAATAGAGTCTCTGACAATTTAGCCAGAGCTGCCCTGTCAGTTTGCTCCAGGATATGGGCAAAGGAATGAGTCAGCTCAGCTGCATCACCACAGAAAAATGCAAGCCCATACCACCATGCCAACAAAGGGCAAACAGGAGCAAGCCTTAGGTCAACCTGGGAGAAGGCCAAAATTAACAGATAGAAAAAATTCTGTTAAAAGACAGAGCTTAAGAGACCGGACAGTGTCTGGGCTGACAGAGGGCCAAGGCCTCTGGCAGTGGCAGTAATGAGATTGGCAGGGATGTAAAATCCCCTGCAGAATACTCATACTGAAGCAGCAGCAAAAAGACATCTTGGAACCGAGAGGAAAAATCTGTATTAGCCAAATCGAAGAGGCAAACACAAGGTGTGGGCCCTTCCAATGAATGATTCACAAGAATCATTCATTCTGATGCCCAAGACATCAGTGTGGCTATGTAGGAAGGGGCCACCTGAAGAGAATATAAATATATTTTTTTTTCTGTTTCTATACATATATACATGCATAAACATATGTATACCCTGTACTGTATACACACACTGCTTATTTATTTATAGAATATACTATATTTATATTACCCTATTCAGATTATAGATTTTTTTTCAGAAACAAGCAAACTCCTTATTGAAGCAGAAGGGCTTGACAAATTATGGAACTCCAAGAGTGTGAAAGAGAAAAGAATAGAGCTTGATAAAAGCATAGAGAAGATACGAAGAAAATATGAAAAGGTAAAGTGTACCACAGAAATTGTCGTGTAGGCATCTTTGGTTCCTACATGTATATCTAAATACCAGATTGCCAAGTTATTTTACTCAAATGTTCTCTAACGAAATTCTAATTTTATTTTTAATAACCCCTCATGGAAGTTCGATCTTTTCTGAATCATCCAATGAAAAAGTGTGTTTGGGAATGTTTATATCCCTAATTGGACTTTTGTTTACATTCAAAATAGGGGAAACTCACAAAATAAATGCACAGTGCTGACTGCTGCCCTGGTGGGAGTTTTAAATCCAGGTTTCACCAGGACAGACATTTAAATATAGTTTCATCTAAAATGCACCACTTAAAAAATGGCCCCTTCCTTTCAGTAGAAGTTGAAGTATAAGAGTACAAGGATTAACTAAAGGAGAAAATATGGTTGTGAATTCTTTAAGCATCTTTTTGTATGCAGAGTTGCCAGGAGGGTTTGACAAATGTTACATTGAACAGCGAGACAACTTTTTGGGGAAATTTGGGCATGAATAGGTAATACAGTGGCCCCCTCCGTTTACGAATTGAATCCGTTACCAGAGACGGTTCGTAAGTCAAAAAGTCGCAACCCGAAAAGAAATTTTCCCATAAGAAATTGTAAATTTAATTAATCTGTTCCAAACACTCCCAAAAATATTAGCTTAAAAATAGATTTCATACCTGATTCACACAAATACTTAATACTATAGTATGTACAAGTTATAGCTTACCTTTATTGATAACTCTTGTTGGTGTATGGAAGACGGGGAGGAGAGGTGTTAGTGGTTGGAAGGGGAGTTCCCTTCCATTATAACATCAGGCAGTGATGACTTCTCTTGGGTACTCTCTCATATTTTGCCTGCATACCACTAGGACCTGCTTGTGGCTCACTGCTTGTTTTTCTCACTAAAAACCCTTCCATAGAAACTTGTTTTTTCCTATGTTGTAACACTTGTCTGTAGTGAGGCATCACAGTATCATTAAAAAGTTAAGGCAATGGCCTACTACAGCTAGCTCTGGGCGAGTCATTTCAACAAAAGTTTGCATTTCTTCACATAATCTACACTACTACTTAATTGTTTAGGAAGGGACATTCTGTACTGCCTCCTCCTTCCCTAAAAATTTCCTCAGCATCATTTTGTTGCTGCTCCTTGTGAAGGGCTAAGATTTCTTCGGTGGTCAGTTCTTCACTGTGTTCCTCCACCAACTCACAACACACAACACTCAGCTCTCACAACACTGTGAATGCCACTTTTTCTAAATTTCTCAAACCATCCTCTGCTCGCCTTAAACTCTTTCATATCTGCATCACTTGTTCCAGGGATTTTCTTTAAAAGGTCTTCATGCAACAGCCTTGCTTTTTTACAAATGATGGGCTCTGAAACTCTATCACCCTCTAACTCCTTTTGTGTATCCAAATTAATAACTTTTCAAAATCAAGTGTTTGTGTTCTTTGTTTCATGATTGTTGATACGCCTTTTGCCACTTTAGCACTCAATGTCCTTTTTCTTAGCAATTACAGTACATATTGTTGACATTTGTTGTACTGCCTAGCTAGTTCAACATCCCATATACCATTTTCATGTTTACGAATGATCTCTTGTTTTTCCTCTATGGTCATCCTCACATGTGTTTTCTTAGGTTGAACCTTACCACTGACTTTCTTGGGATCCATTACATGATATATAATAATTACTTTTATGTTCAAAACCCAAAAGAGCTGAAAAACCATGAAATTCTTTACAAAGAATTCAAGCACGGTCGTCACTAAGTGGGAGGCACTGTTTAAACCGAGGCCCGAGCGACCCTGCCACCAGGAACCACACGCTAGGTCGCCCATATGGGTATCAACAAACTACATTACCCGAGGCAAAGCTCGTAACTCAATTCAAATTTTACAAAGAAATTGGGCTCGTAACCCGAAAAGTTTGTAAATAGGGGCATTCATAAGCCGAGGTGTCACTATATAACCATACATCATTCTTTGCACATCATTGTAGTTCTACAGAACATTTTAAATCTGTCTTTGCTAAAATAAATACAGCAGATCAACAACTTCTGAACTTTACTTAAAAATTGTGTCTTTACAATGATTGTAACATACCAAATAAAGGAAATATACAATTTTACAATGTAAATTATCACTCATTAACAGGAACGACAAAGTCTTACGCAACAGCAGGAGAAGAGAAGAAGTCAGCTTCAGAAATCACATTCTAAACTTGTAAAAAAATACTCGGCCACCAAAGGGATGTAAGTATCAACTGTATTTTGGCTGGCTGAGATTTATTGGCGTTTTATTTACCTTTGATGTTAATAATTAATAACTGTCTTATGCTTGCTTGGTTTCCAGTTGTCGGAGACAGGAAGCCTGTACCGAGGCTTATCAACATCACACTACCGATCTTCTCCCAAGATGCAACCCACAACAGTCGCCAAGCTCCCAGGTACCTATTTACTGCTAGGTGAACAGAGGCATCAGGTGAAATAAAATGTGCCCAACTGTCTCAGTCCTGCCTGGAGACTGATCCCGGAACCGTTGGTTGTGAGCCGACGACATAGATCACTGCATTACAGGACTATATTCTCTTACTCCTTTGTAGAGTACAAAATACAGTATTTTTTGTTTCTCTAAATTATAGTGGTTACAGAAACACTATCTGAATGCTGCATCTTGGCACTTACTTTGACTAGTAGGGTGAGATGTTTGGGCTCATTTCCTTGTACCTGATGCCTCTGTTCACTTAACACTAAATAGCTAACCAGGAGTTAGGCAACTGTTGTGGATTACATGCTGGGGAATGACCAGTCATTGGCTAGGGGAATGAATGACTTTACATCTACATATATGCACACCCTTATGTAGTGTGCACAGATGTGTATGTAGATACTTGTGCACTGTTCATATTTACTTAAGCCTGTGCAGAAGAATTATTTTCGAGATGACTTTGAATGAATTTTAGATAGTGATACAATTACCAGAAGCAAATTCTCAGTAACCATCATTATATTCTTTGTTACTGATACAATACTCTTAACCAGAGAACCAACGGGGCCTGTTAAAAGAGAAAGCGCTCAAGAGCTTAGCACAATGCAAGAAGAGCTTGACGCACGTTTACAAGAGCTGGAGAAGTCCTACCAGGCGAGTCTTAATGAGCTTGGCCAAGCAACTTTGATAGCCGAAAAGAAACTGCAAGAAAAATATCATGAACCGGTGAGTAATTCAGTTATTTTTTGTTCTTTGTTATTTAAGGGCAACAATGTCCAGAGGATCAAATAATCTTATATTAAACCAGTATAGAAAGCCTGTAAATATTGATCTTAAAAACATTTGCAGCATTAATGCTAAGTTAGTACCCTTGGGTGTCCTAACTGCATTAATACCATGGGCTCTTTCCTCATGCCAGCACAAACATTAAAAAAAAAGTCAGTTTAAAGTCTTATGTAATTCAGCACAGATTTAAATTGATATTGTACTATCTTGTGGAAGACATACTGATTTTCCACTTTCTTGTGATTCACTGCATTAATTTGTCATCATGATGTATATTGGTGAAAAAAAAACTTTATTTTGTCTTTTGCAAGGTGGATAGTTTGTTTTGGATGTTTAAAATCCCAGGGTACTAAGATAGGGTTAAATAAAATGTCATAGAAGGAGGAGAGAGGATTGCTGGGAAGAAGGTGAGTGGACATGGTAAGCATTTGAGAAAGTGGGGAGTGTGAACAATTCACAAGAGATGGTAAGGAAGAAAGTAAGTGGAAATAGTTTGCAAAAGGGAGTGAATATACAGTACAGTATTTGCATATAATGTTTATGACAATTCAGGAGGAGTACTGTTCACCTTGTATTATGAAGCAGTGGGTTGCTGCTGTGGATGACTGCTGGAGTGTGGTGGGGCATGTTTTTCCTGATGCTATACATGGCACCGAATTTTGAAGGATTTAAAATATTAATCGTCCATTGTTTACATGTGAGAGGTTATAGATATTAAATGCAACAATACAGTGCTCACCTTTTTTATTCTCAGTTGATGCTTCTCTGCCCAATGAAAGTGGGAAATGGAGTACAATGGAACCTCAATTTATATTATTACTCTTGTATCAAATTATTTTTCAGATATACTCAGCACTAGATAAAGCCATGAAAATGTCTCAAGCAGCACAATTAAAAACCTTACAAACTTTACACGATAAACAAGTGGACGATATAAAACGAAGAACAGAAGAAGCGCACAGAGAAAAGCGGAAAGGTCTTGGTAAAACAACTGGTGATAAAGAAGAATTAAGCAGGTTGGTTACCCTCTTTTTTTCTGGGGTGGAGCCCATTCGGCTCCCTGGAGTTATTCGGGCTGATATGAATGTATTAAACCCTGGCATCAAAGCAATTGGAGTTCTTAAGCCTACCAGGGACCACGAGCCAGAACCTGGCCCCCCACAGAGAGGCACAAGGAGCAATGGCCTATAGAAACCCCTGTGTGGTTGGAAGCATTCTATGTCTGCCATCGACCAAGTCAGGCAATAATTATATTGCCCACTTAGTGCAACCCCACAAAACACATTAACACATTTTTTCTTTGGTTATAATAAATTGTATGGGTTAAAATGGATTTTTTTTTAAGTACAGTATCATTGTAAAATATTTCAAATCTGTAATAAATGCAAAGAACAGAAAAATATTGTTAGTCAGCTCCAAACAAGTCACAGTTTTTATGCCATCAAAACTCTTCATTTATCTATCACTTCATCAGAATGGGTCATGTCAATTATCTCCCTCTGAAACCTCACTGCCCTACCCTGTAGTACACTTAAGGATGGACTAAAATGTCATCACTTTCTTTTCCTTTCTATTTGTTGGCTGAGTATTAATTCTCAGGCACTACTTAGAAAATACAATGGTTTAGCCTAACCAGAAGTGTCAGAACCTGTGCACCTCACCCAGCCTAAAGGAACTGATAATCATTAAGCCCGTGAAGCATCAGTATTGCAGTGATTTTAGTTTCCTTAAACTACCACAATTTTTACATTTACATTTTTTTACATTTTTTTTAATAGCTAAGAATATATTAATTACCTAAGGTAATTACCTAAGTGTAGTTACAGGATGAGATCTACGCTCGTGGTGTTCTGTCTCCCCAGCACTCTGTCATATAACACTTGTGTCAAACAAGAGGACAGGTGGCATAATCAGAGTTTAATCTCTGGGAGTTTCAGCAATGCATACCCTCCAGTATTGTTTTAATTGGGTTTTAAGTGAACAAATCCACAAGGGCTGTGATGAGGGTTCGAACCTACGTCCGAGAGGATCCCAGACTCTCGAACATAGGTTCGAGAGTTTTAAGATAATTATTATCTACCAATTTTAACACATTCGCATTCTGATGATGCTAAAACAGCGTTATGCGTACTCTGACAGTAAATGTTCCGATGATGCTAAAATGCGTCATCCATCTGCTATAAATAAAAGTTTGTATTTTCATCTCTATCACAAAATCGATTATAAGTACACATTTATTTTTGCATCTGTTCTCTAGAGAATTCATTTGTGAACATTTTGATACCAAATTTATAGTTATAACCCAACAAATTGGAAAACGTAAGCTAGTAAACCTTTTTTACATCTTAGTGGCCCATGAGCTGCCTGGGGAGTTTAGAACATTTATGCCAAATTGTAAATTTCTTTAATCAAGTCAGTCATTCAATTTGTTAAAGACTCAACATATAATGCTCCACAGGCATGGATTGCAAGCCTGAATTTGGGCAAGTCAAGGTCTCCCTTGGCCAACAACAGACCATCCTCAGGATGCTGCCCGCAACAGTTGTCTAATTCCCACGTTTCCTCAGTTGCGAGCCAAGGACATAGACCACAACCAATATAAAAATTTAATTTGCTTCTAGAATGTACAAATAAATCATCAAAATATGTAATAACATATTCCACTGAATTGTACTTTCTCCTCTATAAATAAAATAAAATTAAACAGTTAAATATGTTTTATAAATGGATTAAAACATTGAATTATGGTTTAGAGCCCTTCGTGTATACTCAGTGTTTGTTTTGGCAAATGTTAAGAGATAGGAAGCTCGCAGTTTGTCGAGGTCCCTCTAACCACGGTAAAGCTGTGTCTGTGTGGTCACCCATGCAGTTACTGGCCTGACCTTCATTTAACATGACTAAAGTAGTAATTGCAGATCAGTATACTGTATGTACAAGTTAATATTCTCTTGCTGAATCAGTGAGGACTATAACAAATAATTAATTGCAACTTTAAGGAAACATCAGTTATACTGAATATATTTGTTTTACAAATTGCCCAAAATGTTATGCATGTTACTGGCACTGCAAGAATGTACTAATTAATTACCGAAATGTGTACTACAACTTGCTTCTTATATACAGGCAAAATAAATGATAATATGCATTCGTATTTTCACAGGAAAAAGCGCGAGATTAGTAAACAGATAGTTGCCGAAGGTATCCAGGAAAGACAGAGGCTCACTGACATTCATGACAAGAAGAAGACAGAATTAGAAAAGCAACACGAAGAAATTCGCATTCTGTTTGAGGAAGAAAAACTCAAGGTAAGCTTCCTTGTTAATAATGTGACAGATAGAAATAACTTTGGTACTTATTATAATGCACTTGGTTTAGTATATTATTTCTTCACATACTTAAGGTTACATGATTATACATGCTTTCTGTTTTTCAGGCGAGAAATGCAATTGAAACAGATTATGAAGAAAGACGCATAAAACTAGAAGAATCCCTTTCCTCATAGACTGCTGTTTAAGGTACTAATTGTTTTATTTTGCCATATTTCATTATGCCTTATATTTAAACAATGCAAATATATGATGTGATGTAATTTGCGATGTAATTTATTAATTTGTGATGTAATTTATTAATTTAGTAATATCATTTGCTTTTATTGTATATTCAGGGCCATTTAGTGCAATTGGCTTCATTCTTGGCTCATTATTAGGGGGGATTCCAGGTGGAACAGAAGTGGTTGGGCACATTTCCTTTGTCTTAATGCTTTTATTCACCTAGTAGTAATAGGTACCCAGGAGTTTGGCAACTTATGAGGATTCATCTTGAAGGTCAGTAGTGTGACCCCTGGGGGGGGGGGGATGGGAGGGGGGGGGGTGAAATTGATATAAGCCTAAAGTAGTATACATATATTCACAGGTTTCCTGTTCCTCAACAAAATGAATTATGTAAGTTCATAATTAGATATTTTTGCACAATTTTCTTAATGTTATGGTATAGGCAGTGAATGCTCGGTTTCTTATCTGTCATGGTTATATTTTTTGTATGTCAAATTTGTTTGTTACATAATGTGACTGATTAAGGTTTGTATATAATAGATGTTAATTAGAACATCACTCCTTGGAGGGTTGTATTATGATTATAATTATTTGTATTCAAAAGAATGTGTGTACAAAGAACATAAGAATAATGTACAATTGTTAGGGGCAGAAGTTACACATACTAATGAAGTCACTATTATGCAAAGCATTTTCTGCAAAACTTAAAATAATATAAAAAGAAATTTAACTAAAGGTGTGAGGGGGGTAAATACTTAATACTAAAAGAGAAGCTAGCAAAAAGAGAAAGCTCATGTAAAATAAATGAATACAAAAACGGCGATACTTGACACTTTTGAGCTTTTGGCGAGCGCGAAAGTTCGTATGACAAACCATACGGATCAATCACAAATGGCAATTTGCACACAGAAGGAAATTGCAGATAGCGTTGGAGCAACGAAAGTGTTAATAACTCTCCAAAAGTTCATATGGTCTTAAGCTCAACACCAAACCTCATCTTTACTATTTACACTGATGATTACAGAATTTGTATGATAATGCAACACTAAACAAAATTTAATTTATAATATAAACTTGTTTTCAGGTACAGGGAGAGGCTGCATGTACCTGTATTACAGCACATGGTTTGCCAACCGCAGAACACAACCCCATGTTCCTTAACAGTAGGCGCCTTTGTTTAAGCAAATGACAGTTTCATATGATGTCAAGCCTACACAGGTTCTAAAGACACTGTTCTACAGTTGACACCATTCTCAGTCATTTGCTTTTGTGTGTGTGTGTGTGTGTGTGTGTGTGTGTGTGTGTGTGTGTGTGTGTGTGTGTGTGTGTGTGTGTGTGTGTGTGTGTCAAAAATCTCCTGGCGCCTGAATAAACAAAGAAGCTTTATGTGTGTGGGGGTCATTCACTACTAGTCACTGTGTAGAGGAAACCACTAGTGCTGCCCATGTGAGCCAAGTGTTTAGGATTCGTGTAATTGTGGGTTTATTATGTACTGTACAGTATAATCCTGACGAGAGATTTTATATTTGCTGTAAATTAGAAACTTGACATTAGAGGCTGAATTACGACAAGTATTTTTTTGTTGGGATTGAGAGAGAGAGAGAGAGAGAGAGGTTAGTGTTACTGCGTCTCTCACTGCCTCTGGCCAGGGAAAGAAATACATGCAAAAATATTTTATTTGGAGGATGGAAAGACATTTAATTAATAGACATTTAACTATTTAAGGCATTTTTGAATATACATTATATTTATTACTCATCCTTTGCAGTTTTCATTGATGAATGTATCTTTTGTTGCTGGTTTCAAATTAAGTTATTTCAGATGGGAACATGATTATTTTTCAGTATTTGTTATTTTAGTATTACATGAATTATGTCAAATCATCAGTTTTGTTGTTACAATTTACAATTTCTTGTGTGTGTACATTTTGTTGGGTCTCGTTATGTTATCAGGTGCCAATAATTGTTTTCCACATTATAAATTATCGTGATATAAAGTGTGGATTAGCTATTAATTTGACGTGTAATTCATATCATTCTTAAATATTCATTTTTCATCATGATATATGCCATATTACAATTTGTTTTCTCCAGTTGATAACCGTTTGTGGTTTGTCAATATTTGGGAAACAATTTTCATGATCATCACACAGATGCAGTACTTTTTATATGGGTTTTCTTACGTTGTCGTGATTGGAGTATATTATTTGTGATATATTTGGAAGCAAGAGACTAAAAGCTGTAAACAATCATTAGACATATGCCAATGTTGATACTGTCATTTATTGTTAAACAATGTATATAGCTACTTCAGTGAATTTTTAATATGACTATAATCATCAGCATCAATAAAAGTATGGATGCAATTTATGTGGTATATGTACTAGGTATTTCAGAAGTGAAAATGAAGACAAGGGCTGCGTTCGACAATTGTCTCTTCTTGCATCTCTAAGTACGATTTACTTCCTAACAGGAGATAGTTTACTAATTGGTAAGGAATGTTTTAGACCAACCTAAACCAATTGAACATTATATAAATTCTTCAACTTGGGAACCTATTAGTCCCACCAGCCTTTATTATAAGAAATGTTCTCTAATATACAGTACTACTACCCAATTACACCTCTATTACATTGTGTATAAATTTACCATTACTTTCCAAGATAATTACCTCATTTTCTGTATGAAATCCAAAGAAAGTTATGTTATCTAGGTTTGTAGAGAACTAAATAATTCCTTATCATTTGGGGAATGATGTACTCCTGCGTGGGGTTCCAGGTGAGATGCTTAAATTTAATGAATTTTCGAACACAGCCAGAATATTCTATGCAGATGTAGTTGACCATAGTCCTTACTGGCCTTTCTACTCCTTAAACAAGAAGCTCTGCCTCATGTATAGGTAATCAAGATTCCATTACAAGAAAATTCAAACATGGGTACTCTCAACTCTGGCTTGTCAAATTGTGTGTGTATAAAATTCTTATTTATTTAGTATTCTAAACCGTGTTACAATCGTGTGCATTTTTTATGTACACTTCAGTGATGTTGAGAGCCTGATGCATGTAGTATCAAATGCTAGGAAATGAATTTATACTGATAATTATTTAATTATACATCACATTTATCATAAACATCAAGACAAAATGGTTACTTTTAGTTGTAGCATGAAGACACTTTCAAAAAAGATTATAGGTTAATAATTTGCACATCTCCCACATGTAAGAGAGTTGTATTGACATCTTTTAGATAAGAGTGTATTGATAACTAGGCTCTTCTCAGATGTACTGTACTGTTATGCTACTTTACACCTCTGTGTACTAACTTGTTATTTGTCATTTACAATTACATTTGTAATCTAAAAATTAAAAAAAAAATTTTTTTTTTATATTTGTGTATAAAATATATTTCTGTTTATCGAAGAAAATATGTAGATTTTAACATTTACAGTATTTCACAAGCAGACAATGAGTCACAATAACGTGGTTGAAGTATGTTGACCAGACCACACACTAGAAGGTGAAGGAAGAATGGTCCAGGACGGACCGAAACATTGTCGTCCCTTCACCTTCTAATGTGTGGTGTGGTCTGGTCAACAGTATTTCACAAGTTTTTTTTTTCAAATGTATTTATTAATTAATATCAACACACATTCAGGAACTCTCCTTTTTTATTTGTCTTGGTGCACGTACAGTATATTTAGCCTCGATTACCAATAGGTGCCATGACACAGAGTTGGTCGAACGCATGTTTTGTATTGTTAAAGCAACTTCATAAGCATTATTTAGAATAAATTTAATAACTGACTTTGCAGTGCAATAATGAAATTAAATATTTAAGAAAGAAATGGAAAGAGCTAATGGAATCATTCCCGGAAGATTTTGTATTTGATGTCGAAGATAATTGAATTGCCTAGCTGGTGTGTAGCAGAATACCAGGAGGCCTATAGCAGAGTACCACTTTTAAAGAATAAAAGTTAGAATTTTGTCCTTTGATCTTAACGTGTAAAAAGTGTTTGCTTTGGGCCGAGCTTCTTCCCTCAAATGTTTCTCAACAACATTTTGGATGATTTAGGATGTGAAACGTTTTTTCCAGAAAGAACTGTATGAATCATGTTAGGTGATCACAAAACATTTTTGGCTAGTGTAGTGAAATTGCAGAGTTCTTTTGATGTTGGACTCAAATTACTAGAATTCCACTAATTTTCATAGAACCCTTAACTGCTGTTAATGAATAGAAGGTGTGTTTTTTATATGTAATTTTTTTGTAAAAGTTAAACCTCGGTCATTACGTGAAGTCAGCTGTGTATAATAGGTGTTCATTCGTCTCCCTTCCCATACTCACGCCCAGCTGTCCCGTAACGGAGTATTTAGTGTTCTTAACATGCTACACATCCCACTCTTTTTCTTGACATTTCATTCATTGTGTGTGTCTACACTAAGAGGTAAGGCCAAAACCTTGAAAACATTTACACAATTTATAGTTGCCCCTGAAATCATCATATCCCAAGTTCCACTTACATGTTCATCAAAGAGAATTTATTCTCATTGTCAGCAAGAGAGAGACAGCAAACCCAGTGCTAAATGTATTAGTCTACCAGTACAATTGTCAAGCTATATTTTCACATGTTAATTACCGAGCCGATTATGTTTGCCTTCTCTCTGTCAACTGACATCAGATGATCGTTACTGAAGTGTGAAAAAGTGTAGAGAGCAATAAGAATCAGTTTCAGTGATTTTTGGCTCGTCACTGTTTGAGCCTTTCAATATGTGAGCAGTACACTAAGAGATTATGCCTGTTGAATTGGCTACCACTCAGTTGTATTGTTTTCTCAACTGTTTGTTATTTGTTGTCAATGTGTAGAGACTGGCAACATACCAGATACCTCCCTTATGTAGTCTTTAAGTTAATGGACCAATGAAAAGTCACTTACATCCATGTACATGCATGCAAGCATGCACGAGCATATGTATACATACACAATGTAAACATGCATACATACATATACATTTACACAGACAAGTACACATGGAAATAAGAACCTAGATTATTCCCAAGGTTTTCAAGTCATATTGATGTCAACCTGCAGCCAAGTGCATAAGACATTCTTGTTCCTTTGAAAAGTTGGCTTAAGAATGGCTGATACTTTGAAAATATGTGGAACTTTTGAGGAGAGTTGTAACCCTAGACAGTTAAATGAATATAATAAAGTATTCTCAAAACTATTGGGCTTGGGGCATTATTAGCAAGGAAAAGCTGATGCATTTTTTAAAGATCTAATTGCAGTGTAATCTTCATATGCAATTCCTAACAATTTATTTATGTAAGTTTTAAAGCAACTCTTACCAGTGCTGATGTGCTGTTCTATGTACAAATGCACAAATATTTTGTATAGCATCTACCTGAGCTCCATTTCATTGGGGGCTTTCTTTATAAATATACAAGTATGTAAGTATTTAATTTAAAATACACTGTCAAGATTTGAGCCTTTAAAGCTGAGGTTGTGAAGAAGTTTGATCAACATGACTGTCTTGAGGCACAGCCACCAATACAAGTGCTGCATTCATACAACATGCTTTCATTATCCTTTGCAATAAATCCTGTGGTTTACCATTGTCATGATGTAAAATCTGTTTGGCTGAAGGTTTCCCCCTTTTCCACAATGCTTACAACAGACTTCTTAAAGGATGCAATCCTCACCAGTTCCCTAATTCCCAGGTCTATTTACTGCTAGGTGAATAGATGTTTCAGGTGTAAGGAAACATCTGTTCTCTTTGAGAATCAAACCTGGGCTCTTTCAGTTGTGAACTGATACACCATACTGTGCCCTGCTACAACCCCCCCCCACTCCACCCATGCTGTGCGGGGCGTATTACACATTATGGGATAACCGACTGTCTGTCCATTCCTGTCTGCTCGTTATGCTGCCCTTCCTTTTGAAAATTGTCCGCTTTATCGACTTCCTTCAAGACCACACGTTAGCCTCTTATCACGCCCTCTTACCACTCTCAGGGAGCCGGCTCTTCTATACAATAGTTACCACTCAGTCCCCAAGGTGAAAGAGTGTCCGGGCATATGACTTGTTATGTGTACTTATTTGCGATTCGTTTGGGCTGTCACGTGTGGTGATTAGTGTTGGGTAAGGCTAGGCCAGGTCAGGTCAGACTAGGCCAGGTCAGACTAGGCTAGGTAAGGCTAGGCCAGGTCAGGTCTGGTCAGGTCTGGCTAGGCCAGGTCAGGCTAGGCAGGGTGAGAGAAGTAAAGCGGCAGGTACTTACGTTTCCGAGAAAGTAGCGGCGGTAGTATATTGTTGATTTAGATTCGACGACATCCTGAAGCTAGTAGGTGGCGGCCTCATCGCTCTCGAACTTCTTGTTGTTGTAGGGGATACGAGGCACACCCAATATCCCCCTTACATTGATCACATCGCACACTAATATTTTTACTATTTCGGACACCAGATTTGTCTGTTTCGTATATGTATAATTGTTCAATATTAAAACCACAATAGAATGCTCTTAACAGTTACAATTTTCAACTTAACAGCCATATAGTTGGCAAGAACGCCGCCCGCCAGTGCAAATGTCTCAGACCCTGTTGGAATATAACCAGTCTGTCAATCGGGTCAACCCAAGTGTTGCGTTTCCATGCGTTTCCAAAAGGGTCGCCCATGTTGGAATCGGTGAACGCCCTAGTAATATTGTTGAAAACATCTTAACTTATTAAACCAAAGGTCTTTTTAAGTCAGAAGAAGGGCAGAAACTAGATCTATACGGGGCGGACTGTATTTTCTTGGATTGTCGGAAAGCCTTTGACAGTACCGCATAAAAGGTTGATGCATAAACTGAAGAAACAGGCAGGAGTAACTGGTAGGGCGCTCCAGTGGATATGGGAGTACCTTAGCAATAGGAAGCAGAGAGTTACGGTGAGGAGTGAGACCTCAGATTGGCCTGAAGTCACTAGTGGAGTCCCACAGGACTCTGTACTCGGTCCTATCCTGTTTCTGATATATGTAAATGATCTCCCGGAGGGTATAGACTCATTTTTCTCAATGTTTGCTGATGATGCCAATAATGAGAAGGATTAAGACAGAGGAGGACGGCTTGAGGCTTCAAGAAGACCTAGACAAGCTGAAGGAATGGTCGAACAAATGGTTGTTAGAGTTTAACCCAAGCAAATGTAATGAAGATAGGTGTAGGGAGCAGGAGGCCAGGAAGGTATCATCTTGGAGAGGAAAATCTTCAAGAGTCAGAGAGAAAAAGACTTGGGGGTTGATATCACACCAGACCTGTTCCCTGCAGTCCATATCGAGAGGATAACATCAGCGGCATATGCCAGGCTGGCCAACATAAGAACGGCATTTAGAAACTTGTGTAAGGAATCATTCAGAACTTTGTATACTACATATGTCAGGCCAATCCTGGAGTATGCAGCCCCAGCATGGAGTCCATATCTAGTCAAGGATAAGACTAAACTATAAAAGGTTCAAAGGTTTGCCACCAGACTAGTACCCGAGCTGAGAGGTATGAGCTACGATGAGAGACTACGGGAATTCAACCTCACCTCGCTGGAAGACAAGAATTAGTGGGGACATGATCACCACATTCATGATTCTCAAGCGAATTGATAGGGTAGACAGACAGGCTATTTAACACAAGGGACACACGCACTAAGGGACACAGGTGGAAACAGTGCCCAAATAAGTCAGAGATATTAGAAAGAACGTTTTTAGTGTCAGAGAAGTTGACAAATGGAATGCATTAGAAAGTGATGTGGTGGAGGCTGACTCCATACACAGTTTCAAGTGTAGATATGATAGAGCCCAATAGGCTCAGGAACCTACACACCTGTTGATTGACGGTTGAGAGGCGGGACCAAAGAACCAGAGTTCAACCACCGCAAGCAAAATTAGGTGAGTACATATCTCCCCTCCCCTCCACACAACACCCTGACACTCGCGGCAACAGTGACAAAGAGAATACTTAAACAATTATCTAATGACAATCTCCCTGACCTAACAGATTCACAAAGACATGAAAGTTGTAGCATTAAACATTATCGCGAGGAGACATTTATATATGGAACTATATATAAATGAACTCGCCCATCGTAACTATACCAACTTATCAGGAGCACCATTGTGCCTGGCCGGGTGGTTCGCTGGTAATCCACCCCCACAACCACACCCTCCCTGTTCCTGTTGGCCGGGAACGTGAAAAACTGGCAGTTCCCTCTCCGTTCGCCACTTGCCCCGTTCCTGTGCCAGGTAAGTTACGGGCTCACCACAGCCCGTGCTACTTGGAACTTGTTCCGAGTAGCTGAATCTATAAACAACAACAACTCTCCGTTCTATCCACTCAACCCCACCGGCCATAACTGTGGACAAGGTACTTCCACAGACCCTGGGTCGTCTCAGAGACTCGAGTGTGGGAGGCGGACCCGACTCCCAATCTGCCTTGTAAATCTGTACTTCATCTCAGAGATAAGTACTTATCAGAGGGCAACTAAGACTGGTCTCGACGAGGATAGGAAGCCGGCGGTTTGTCAAAAAGTCTCGCACCCCCACCATTACTCTCCAATGTCGTTGCTTACCTTTTTTTGCGAACTGGACTAAACGTGATGATTTTATCAAGACAGTCGAGGCAGTCACGCACGTCCGGCTCATCCCCTTCATCTGTATCCAACAGTATAGGCGGCGAACCAGGATTCAATGGCATAAGTCTCCTAAATTTTTTCTTCCGGGCATGGCAGAATTTGCACCCAAGAACATATATACTTGCTGACTGCGGCGGCGGCGGCGCTCTCACAGCCACTTTACATTTGTCTACTCCTTCTACCATTCCTCGGAGTCGGGCGGGAGGGAGGGCAAAGTATGAGCTGGTAGCTGCCGGCCACTGTGCTGGCCCGCACCACCACCTGTTGTGGTCTACATGCACCTCCTTCACCAGTCAGGTGACCCCCAGCTTGTGACTCCTATTAGCCCAGCCTTGACTGCATTCGGCCAATCAGCGTGCGAGTACCGCAACCCGTTCTCGCAAATTCGTAAAGTCAATATTGACTTATTAACTACGTGCATAGGTGATATACTAAACATAATAGATACCCTTAAAAAGATTCATAGAAAACACCGACCTTACCTAACCTACTTAGTATGTTAAGATAAGCATCTTATTGCTTCGTAATTACAATTATTACCTAACCTATAATAGGTATAGGTTAAGTAATAATTGTAATTACGAAGCAATAAGATGCTTATCTTAAGATACTAACAAGGTTTGGTAAGGTCGGTGTTTTCTATGATTTTTTTATTTTTTTTTATTTATTTTTACATGCAAGGTACAGACAATAAATACAATAAAATATCACAGAAAACAGAAACAAACATAGAAGCCACCGGCCAGAAGGACCGACAGCACAGGTCAATAATTAGCAAAAAATGGAGTAACGCATGAGAAACACAGCATACATCGAGACAAATTATAAAACAATAACAAACAAGCAAATAATGTAAGCAAATAAACAAAACTTAGGAACAGTATAAAATAAAACAAACAAGCACCGGCCGGAAGGACCGACAACAAAACACACAATGTATAAAATGAAACATAACAAGACAATGCACACACAAAACAAATCATAAATATAAACAAAAGGAAAATTAAAAAGAAAACACAAGATAACATGGTAATACATGAAGAGAATAACACTGCAAAACACCGGTCCCTCCACAAACAAAGGGAGAGGCACGGGCACAGAAGACGGTAGGGAACAGGGAATCAGCGGACATACTTGCCCGGGAACAAGACCCGTGGGAATCGCACATTGAACGCCTCCCAACGTAACCACCCCCAAGGGTCTCGTACACCCACCGGGGACGCCATGTCATCCGGAATAGCAACAAACACCCGTAAGCAGGGGACCCAAATGGTATAACTTCTGACGCGAGTAACTGCCACAATCCCCCACATCATGGGAACACCCCCACCATGAAATTCCCCCGGCTCGTCATTCAGCAGTAACTCGGCAATCGCCGACCAGTGACCCGGCGGCATCTCCGACGCCGGCAACACGTCCCCCAGGGCCCCAACACGTACCCTTACAGGAGGGGGCCGGACATATGGCACCACCACCGGGGCACCAGCGGCCACGGGCACACCACCAGACGACTGCAGGGAACCAGGGCGGCGCGCATCCTTCCGTAATGTCACAACCAGGCCACGCCCAGCACCAGCAACCACACCATCCCTGGGAGCGGGAGCCACCACCTCCCACTGCGGAGAGTCCCCAGGCGGAGAAGGAACGGAAGGCACCCCCGAGACCCGGGCACCAGCAGGCACATGAACCTCAGCCACCACCAACCGTGGAGACAGCGACACACCCGGTTCCACACCGTCAACTCCCAAGGACCCACAGTCACCGAATTCCCCAACATCGGCCCAGGCAGACGACGAACGCCTGGAACGCTTGGGCTCCGGCCGGAGATCGTCAGAGCCGGAAGCGGACCCAGAAACACGGGTCCCACCAGCCGGACGAACCGACGCCCGACGCAGAACGGCAGCAGCCTCTACCACAGGGGGAACCGGCCCACACACAGCAGGAGGCTCCGCAGCCACCCCAGCACCCAGCACATCCGGGACCCGAGGCGAGAGCACAGGGCCAGGCGCAGCAGCCGAAGACGAGGGAGAAGACGGCGGCGCGTCACAATGATCACCAGGAAGGCCGTCAGGAGCAGCGGAGACAGCGACAGGAGCACGTAGACCATCCGATGGCACTGCAAGACCCGGAGGAGAGTCTGCAACAACCGGAGGAACGTCCAGCGATGTAGGGGGAGCCGCATCCGCTAACTGAACGCTTACCTCTTCATCCCCGGAGACCTCCTCCAGAGGGAGCGGTGGGAAATCCTCTTCTCGGAACAAGTTGACCGGAGCAACCGGATCCGCAGTGCATCCGGCAGCCTGATGCCCCAACATGCCACACCGGAAACAAGTACGGGGTTGCCGGGCATAATACACCCGCACGTAGTACCCTAAAAGTCGGACAGAGGATGGAATGTCCGACCTCAGGTGCATCCCGAGGGTACGAATGTTCATCTTCACCCCGCATATTTTCCAGAAGATAGCTTGTGCATCCTCTCACTGACAACTGAGCCAAATCTCTGGAAGAAACGCCGGAGAAGGGACTCAGGGAATTCCATGGGGGCCCCATGGACGCTCACATACGTCACGGCACCACTCCGATCAGAAATGGCCACAGAACCAGTGCCATCCAACAACTTCAAGGTACGGCCCTCGTACCGCCGGAGAAATCCACGGTACGCCTCCTCACCCACAAACTTGATGATCACCCGGCGAGCAGTCACCAGCTCAACCCCGTAGACCTCCTCGACCGGGACATGTAGCACGTCACACATGACCTGCTCAACGAGAGGATACCCTGCACGGCAGGTAAACTCCAACCCCACGGAGTTTACCCTCTCGACAGCGGGAAGATGGCCGCTCATCGCAAAAGCGCCACGTCAACGCCAGTCAGGGACAGCAGGGAGGGTAAGAGACACCCACACCCCCTGCTGGCGAAAAACTGCAACCTCCCCAAACTGCCGGAGCGGTCAGACGACACGTCTTCACCCTACGGCAGCTCAGGTGGGACTCCACGCCGGGAGATGGATGTTCATCGGGTGCACTCGTCACAACCTTCCCCACATTTACTGGAAGGCCCAAATATCCAAAACACACCCACACTTGCCCCAAAAACTTGCTTTGGGTATTAGTGGTTTTAGGCATAGTATGTAGTAGTTCCATCTAGAAATCCAACATTCTGTTTGTAACTCATTTTGAATGTACGTACTTTTTACCTGAATAAACATTATTATTATTATTATAATATTATTATTATTATTATTACACCTCCCTCCACTTATGAAGGATACATACATCACCCCGGAACTATTATGTCATATAAAAGGTCTTCAGCATGATGCCAGAATCTAGATTTTAGTTTGGTATTGGGCTTAAGGTCTATCAACCTCTGGAGGGTTATTGAGGCCATCACAATTGCTTACTGACCAACCAGCAAGTTTGGTATTGGGCTTAAGACCTATCAACCACTGGTGGGTTATATAAGGCCACCACAACAGCTTATTGGCCAACCTAGCAAGTTTGGTGCTGGGTTTAAGTACTATCAACCTCTGGAGGGTTATTAAGCCCACCACAACAGCTTATTGACCAACCAGCTAGTATACTTTAGTCCTAAACGTAGATCAGAACTAAAATATACTCTCTGTATATACTCCCGTGATTGGAGTATATTTTTCACGTGAACATATCCTGTGTCTCTAGGCCTATTGCTGCTGCAGCGTCTGCCTTATATCTAGGACCTCTTAGCTGTTTGGCCAATCCTGAGTCAGGGTCTACCAAGCACTATGCCACTTATCTCGATCAAGGCGGCATAGTCGGTATTTACTAAAGACTTTGCAAGCTCCGAAGCGTTAGGAGGTCGCCAGTAACAATAATAACCTCTGGAGCACGACTTGGTAGTACGTCAGAGCTCGTAAAGTGTTTAGTAAATACAGATCGACTGAGTCGCTATGATCGAGATAAGAGGTACAGACCACGTAAGTGGGCTCGTAAGTGCTTGGTGACTCCTGGGTGTCTGTCATATCATCATATGGTTCCAATAACAATATTCTTTATTACTAAAAGATAAAAGTTTATTAACAAATATCAGAGAAATTACATAGTATCACATTTCAAGAAATGAGTTCCTTTGCTAGAAGGCATTAGGCCCTATAATTAGGGCTTATAATTAGGGCCTATATTTTGAAGAAAAAAACACCAATTGGCATCCAACATCTCTAATGCCCTGTTGCCATAGCACTGTCACTGTTATTTTTTATTATACAAAAATAATTCATTTGATTTTTGAGGCGATGACGTGGTACATACAATGTACAAATTCATATCCTTAGAAGAAGGATTTAATAGAGAAATATTAGTAATGATAATATTTGGCATCTGAACGGGGTGAAGGGTTAAACAAGGGCTTGACCCTAAACAGAGGAATCAGGAGGGAACAATTACATATTTTGACTGGGAAGGTGACAGCAGGATAGCAAGCCAGATAGGCCTATCCTTACAGCTGCTCTGATAGGCCTACCCTAACAGGAGCTATGATAAGCCAGTCGTTGCAGCAGCTCTGATAGGCTTACCTTCGCAGTTGTGATAGGCCAACCCTCGCAGCAGAGCTAATAGGCCTACCCTGACTAGGCTTCTAGCCAGCACAGAGAACGCACCTTCCCACAAGATAAGGTAACATAAGCCCGAGAGAGAGAGAGACGTGAACCAGAAAGACATAGTTTAATTGGTCAAAGAAACCGTCGAAGTCTCGGGTCCAATTTCAACAACTTTTTTCGTGGGGAAATTTATAATAGAAACAATAACCCTCATAAACAGGTACAACTTGTAGCACGAAATTATCTCAATCTTGCCGAACATTCTTATAAGATCCGAAGCAAGATTCTGTTCTCGGGGTCTCAACTGAACGTATAACTGATCTTTGGAGACCAAACAATGAAGGTGAACTTAGAGTTGAGGGAAGGGCAGAGATGAAGGGAGAGACTGAGAGATGAGGGGAAAGACTGGGATATGAGGGGAGAACTATACGTTATGAGGGAATGATAAACTTTGGATGTGTTGAATATGTCCTCCAGGGGGGGAAAGTGCCTCAAGACAATGCCTGAGGGCAGGCCAGTATCTTAAGTCGCTAGCATCTTACGTCAGTATGATTACCGCATCACGCGACAGCCAGTTGGATCAGGATTCACCAAGGACTTACGTGTCCCCTTACTAGGTGGACCTCTTACCCCAATCATGGCGGCTTAGGCAGTATTTACTAAACAAATTTACGAGCTCCAAGGGGGCTACGAAGTCGCCAACCCGTTGGTAAAGTACGATCTCGTAACGCCTCGGAGCTCGTAAACTATTTAATGAATGCCAACTACGATGTGTGATGACGATTAGAGACAGTTAAATATTATCTACAGATACTAAGGAATAATAACTGGCTTGCCCTCCAGTGATCCCGCCACGCTGGAGTGGAAATAAGATATATTAAAGATATATTTGTTACAATACACCGAATGGCAATTTTAAGGCGATTGTTTTGCTAAGAAAATTTCATACATGGTTCGCTATGGAATGAGAAGTACTGGAATGTGTATGTATACGCATACACACACACAGAGAGTTAAAACAAAACAAGGTGCTTCACACAGAAGATTGGCAGAATGGGTTGAGAAACTGCACTGACCAATCCGTTAAAAATGCGACGCATTAGTATAAATTAAACCCCCCGCAATATTGACGTTATCTATCCATCGGGCCTCGACTGATTAAGTTGGATGGCTTGGGTTCGACGCTTCTGGTCAGGGCAAAATAGTTGCATTGTTTACGTTACTAGTTGGGTAACAAACGTTGCATTTTTTAACGGAGTGGCGAATCGGCAAAACACACGCTGAACGGGTTCGACTGTGGTCTAGATAAGGTAATCTCAGCCTTCGACATTAGGCTAAGATTCGTGCAATTTATCAAGAGACTTGAGAATTAGCTCTTGAAACCAGTCAAAATATATATATATATATATATATATATATATATATATATATATATATATATATATATATATATATATATATATATATATATATATATATATATATTATTAAGTGTAGAGGCAATCTGAATACATTTTCATTTTTATAAATCAAATGCCTTTTAACAGTACACACTTTTGACTTTTTTTTAGTAAATTCCCTTTATAAAGTGGAATTGTTTGTCTTTTCATAAGTAAATTCCCTTTGTATGAAGACAATTTTTCTTAAGTAAATTGCTTTTAAACAATTAATTTATCATCTTTTTAAGTAAATTGTCTTTATATAATTAACAATTTGACTTTAGTAAAAAAAAAATATTCCTTGCTTAGAATTTACAGCTTCGATCTAGGTAAAAAACCTAATATTTACAAACAGATAAGTGCACCCTGAGGTCAAACAAGACGTTTGTCCTCGAGACAAATAAACGCAGCTAATTTGCAAAACTTGTAAACACATCTTATGGATTCCAAGTCGCCTTTTAGAGTTCTTGTAGAGGTAAGAATTGTGTAAAAAGGATAACAATGGATTATACATCGTGAAAGGCCCTTACAAGCCTTGTATTGTCACCTGGGAGGGGGAACAGGAACCGGTTTCATATTCGCTGAACCGAACCGGAAGCAGCCTAGTTCCGGGAGAGGATATTTTTGTTTTTTTGGCGGGGGGAACACCGAGATCCTAGGCTACTGACGTCAGGATATGACTAACGTCGCCCTCGTCACAGTTTGCGTCATGACATCTGTAATCTGACGTGATGGACTTGCAGTGTTGACATCAGTCTTGTTATCCTCTTGTCCCCCGGTCAAGTGCGTCTCGCTATCCTGTCCTCCTCCTCCTCCTCCTCCTCGTCCGGTTAAGTGCGTGTTATACGCTCTGCGCGGGTCAGTACCGGCGTGTGAAGCTTTGAAGAATACCGGGCTAAGGTACGTGATCTAGGCGACTGTCTTCTTCAGATTAGCAAGCTGTTGTGGCAGGGACTCCTGGTCGGCGACGAACCGCTTGTGGGGCGCCCGCTTCTCCTCATTCAGCTCCTTCTGCATGTCCTCAAGCTGAGAGAGAGAAAGATAACACAACATAAATACACAATGAAATCACAAGAACTTGGATATCTCTATGATGTAATATTGAGACAGCATGACGGCAAGTCTAGGGACGCAAGTGCGATCCTATTCTACAGCCGCAATGCTTTCTCATAATGTGAATAATCGATTTCTCGTCAAATGAAGATATAAGAACATATTGGCCCATATATACGTGTAACCTACGCTTGAAACAACCCATCGATCCCGGCAATTCGTTCCATAAAGCTATATACACAAGCCTGTTTCCAAACCAGTATTTACCCAGGGCATTCGTGAATGTGAACTCAACTCACTCATCTTGGCCTATCAACTCGTCGTCTTATCCAAACAAATGAGTAGTTCGATTATTGCATTATTGATCCCTTCAACTTGTGTTGAAATTTCAACACAATTCCAATAATCAACATTGATGACCTCAAATGACTGCCAGTTTGCCACCAGCCTCACTGGTAATATTGACCCATACTGACACACTGGTATGGTTAGCAATGTCTTGGTCATATTAACCACGTTCCATAGACTGCTCAGAGTTACGGCATCTTGTCTTAAGTCTCAATTCTAACATTAACCGACGGTATCGTGTCTTAAGTCTCAATTCTAACAATAACCGACGGCATCTTGTCTTAAGTCTCAATTCTAACATTAACCGACGGTATCGTGTCTTAAGTCTCAATTCTAACATTAACCGAGAACAAATGCAACAACATTAACCAAGCGGGGATTTTTGTCTTTGTTCTAAATCTCAATAAAAGTGGTCAATATCGAGACAGGAAGACAAACAAATACAACACCTTATTTGTTGGCAATCCAGTGACGTCAGCGACAGCACTGAATCTTTAACCAATAGAGTGTGTGAAAGAGCCTTGACGTCAGCAAGCCTTCCTGCCAATCATAATGGCTAGTTTTGAAGGGCCATGACGTCAAGCAGGGTTCTCTGCCAATCATCATGAGAGGGTCGTTGACGTCATAAGAATCGAGCGGCCATAAGAACTATTTCAGAACAAAGCCGCTTCCGGGTCAAGAAAGTGTTCCACTGAGGCTGTTGTCTGCTGGGTAATTTTAGTCTTTGTCATTTTAAATGAAAAAAAAACTATGTTTCATTTTCTGGTATATGGAGTGACGATGTCAATTATTTTGGAGGGGGGGGGGGAGAGTGTGAGGTGTGTTCTCACCTAGTTGTGCTTGCGGGGGTTGAGCTTCGGCTCTTTGGTCCCGCCTCTCAACTGTCAATCAACTGGTGTACAGATTCCTGAGTCTACTGGGCTCTATCATTTCTACATTTGAAACTGTGTATGACGTCTGCATACACTGTGTGTGTGTGTGTGTGTGTGTGTGTGTGTGTGTGGTCAACACACTAATTAACGAATGAATAAATGAATAATCAACGCAGCATATGCAACTGCAGGCCGTACTCACAGACCAAATATAATTGTTCATTAATTACAAAAAAAAAAAAACAATAATCCAATAGACCAAGGCTGAAATGTCAAATTTTTGCACGTGTATTTAAAGCCAATCGATATATAGTATATATTGAAGGACAACGACATCGCAATAGAGAGCCATATCAATGAAAAGAAAAATTGTTTTGGAGCAGGGCAGTGGACTCTAACTATTGCGTTTTGAGACACCCCGCGACGCGCAGCACTTGAGATCCAGTTATAGACACGGAGGATCCCGCAAGGAGTGACTGGCTAAGCCTGCGTGAGGCTTGATGGATTGATTGATAAAGATTAAGCCACCCAAAAGGTGGCACGGGCATGAATAGCCCGTAAGTTAGGCTTGAGAGCACCTCAGTCCTTTATACTATCTCTCTTTAAGCTCCATGGTGTAGGCGGGCTAAATGCCATGTATCCTCACGGGCTTAAAGTTTTATACCAAAACGGTTTCAAAAACACACCACTCGCTTGACTGAATATCATGTGTGTGTGTGTGTGTGTAATTACCTAAGTGTAGTTACAGGATGAGAGCTACGCTCGTGGTGTCCCGTCTTCCCAGCACTCTTTGTCATATAACGCTTTGAAACTACTGTCGGTCTTGGCCTCCACCACCTTCTCCCCTAACTGTGTGTGTGTGTGTGTGTGTGTGTGTGTGTGTGTGTGTGTGTGTGTGTGTGTGTGTGTGTGTGTGTGTGTGTGTGTGTGTGTGTGTGTGTGTGCGTGCGTGTGTGCATGTGTGTGTGTGTGTGTGTGTTTGGAAGCATCATTCGGTACACCATGCACACACCAGTGCTGTACATGTGTGGAATATAACGGAGGTAACCGGAGTCTGGTATAGCGACGCCTGGCATCCGGACGCCACCCACACCAGACCTCAAACAACAGGTTGCTTGGGCGTCGTCTCCATGGCAACGCAGCTTCTGAGAACCGCATCTTTGGAAAAGTCGATCTCCGTCGTTATAACATACGAGAATGGCCTCAACGAGACGCGTTACCAGGTTATTCTTAGCAACGCTAACGAGGCGAAGGCTTGGGTGAGCCGAGGGACAGAGGGAGAGAGGCCCAAGAGACACACACGCAAGAGAGAGAGGGAGAGAGGGAGAGAGAGAGAGGGAGAGAGAGAAAGGGTCAGCTTTAACCTGGGAGTGCGTGGGAGGTGGTTCTCAGCATCAAGAGGCATATGGCAACCCTCTAAGCGTGGGAGGACCAGGTATTGCGCAAACCAATATAAATGTCGCAGATTTCGCAATAAGCTTAAAGTGGCGACCTCTTTCTGAAAGCACTCGCATGTAGTACTGAAAGCACAAGCTGGTGTGCTTTCGAGGGAGTAAATTGGGATACACTTAATGGGACATAATCCAGAAACAAGTTAGTGGGTTGGATAAAGAAGGGGGGAAAGGGGGGGGGGAAGAAGTAAGAGGGGGTGGGGTTGTCAGGAGGTTTCCACTATTTCCCCCCCCCACCTCCCTCCTGGTATTAACAATGGTGGTAGAAGTGTTTACATGGTAACATTACATGTTAACAAGTACGCTTGGACCACCACAATGGCGGTAGTAGTGGTGGTGGTTGTCAGGCTGGTGGTTGCCAGGGTGGTGGTTGCCAGGCTGGTGGTTGCCAGGCTGGTGGTTGCCAGGGTGGTGGAGGGGGGGTACCAGTGGCACTTATATGTGACGCCAGGGATCAATAAACTACACGCCCACGCATGCCACGCCACGCCAATCCTGAGTCTTATGGTGCCAGCGCATAGGGTCGCTCCTCCTCCCTCGGTGCTCTTGGTTCTTGCCCTTCCTGCCACCCCCTCCCCCCCCCTCTCTCTCTCTCTCTCTCTCTCTCTCTCTCTCTCTCTCTCTCTCTCTCTCTCTCTCCCTCTCCCTCTCTCTCTCTCTCTCTCTCTCTCTCTCTCTCTCTCTCTCTCGCCTTGTGTGGTTATTGCCGGTAATGGCAACAATTACCACACCCTCTCCACCTGTTGCTGAGATCTGTGTGCACTCTATCCACCCAATGTGTCTAGGTCCTGTGTGTACCTTATCTACCCTCTGTGTCTAGGTTCTGTGTACCCCCCTATCCACCCTGCGCCTAGGCTATGTGCATATTTTATGTAGCCTTACCAGTCCATCCATCTGGTGGGACCTGTGTACATATCATTTAGTGTATTGAGATGTTGTGCAAGATTAGCAAGATTTGCAAGCAAGACTGGTTTCCAGTCTTTGAAACTCACTCCCTGATGAATTTGGACATTGTTGTTGGACATTGCCCAACCCATGTCCTGATAAGAAATAAAACCAAAAAGTACCTAATTTCATCCTCATAGTTTCCTACCTTGCGCTTCAAACTCACATTATATCTTGTACTACCCTCTTCCCCAAGATTAGTACTTAACACTAATTATGTACTTAATCTTTACCAGTGTAATCACCTCTGTCAGTTACGGCGGGCTATTCATGCCCGTGCCACCTCTTGGGTGGCTCAATCTTCATCAATCCATCACCTCCGTTAATTTATATTGTTGATATAAAAAAAAACCTTGCTCCCATGTGCCTTTTCACCTTACCTGATATGTTAGATTAAGGACCTGTCCGAAACGCTAGTGGCTTTGCTAGAATGTAAAAATATCACTCTAATGTAATCTCACCCACCGATTATACCTTCTTGTAAATAAAATATTATTATTATTATTATCCACCCATTAAGCAGCGTAGCTATGTTGCTAAACGCTGCAGTAAAGGAACAACGTTTCTGTGTGTGTTTGATTGGAATTGAACGTTATGGGTTAAGTGTGCAAGGATGAGCCGTGGGGTGCAGAAGGGGTCTCTCTTTCTCTTTCTGGTGTGAGGCAGAGTGTCGCGGTGTCAATTGTTGGGGCGTTGTGTCTTGTGTCTTTGTAGTGCGATATTATCGATTCACCCGTGTCAAGGTCGGATAGCTGCCATTGTATTTTGGAGCACCGAGTGTGTCATTTTATTGGCTGTCTCCGTCTATCTGTCTCTCTCTCTCTCTCTCTCTCTCTCTCTCTCTCTCTCTCTCTCTCTCTCTCTCTCTCTCTCTCTCTCTCTCTCTCTCTCTCTCACTCTCACTCTCACTCTCCTCCCCAGGTGGACGTCAATTAACCTTGCACTCTCTTACCTGGCGAATATTTCTTTCCCTGTCGAGGTATTTCTTGAAGGCTTCGTAGCGGGTCAGCATGTAGGGGGTCATTGTGGTCGCGCTCGCTACATCCTTCTCCCCTTTGCTGCTGCTACTGCTGCTGTTGCTGCAGCTGCTACTGCTACTGCTACTGTCAGTGTTGCTGCTGCTGCTGCCAGTGTTGCTGCTGCTGCCTGTGTTGGTGCTGCTTGCGCTTAATACCTTTTCAATCTCTTCAGGTTTCTGAGTGTTGCTGTTATTATTGTATTTGGTGATTGATTGTGTGTTGGTCTGTTAGAAAAAAAGGACAAAAAGAGGCATTATTTGGGATTGCATTCCAACTTCAAAGGTTCTGGAGGCTAATTAGGATTGAGAAATAGATTGCATTCCAACTTTTCAGATTCTGGATTACTTTCCGAGACCCCAAAAAAATGAAAACAAGCGATGCATAGGATGTGATCAATGGGTGGAAGATGTTTACCTGATCCTCCTCCTGGTTGGTGACGGTGCGGGCGAAGACGGGTCGTCTGACGGACGTAGCTGGGATGTCGAAGGCTTCCTCTTTCTGCCCCTTCCTCAGTAGTCTTGGGCCGAGAGCAACACGACCTCCCAACACCGGCATGTTGGCTCGCTTCAAGTTCTGGAGTCGGAAAATGAAGATTGAAGAACGTTAGTGTGTGAAGATTTAAGTAAAGTGTGTATATATATACTTTAACCTACGCTTAAAGCATCCCTAGCGAGCTCATTAAAACATATGTATACATATCTTATTGGCAAATTATTTATTGCAATTTACGCGTATATAAGGTGATATTCTCCACTTATAATCTGGTGGGGACAGTATGAAACATCTGTATTATTTAGACGACGGGTCACAATAAGCTGGCTGAAGATGGCATGACCAAACTGCACACCAGAAGGTGATGAGACGACGACGACGACGACGACGTTTCGGTCCGTCCTGGACCATTACCAAGTGGCATGTTTCACCACATACGACTCGATAATGGTCCATGACGGACCAAAACATCGTCGTTTCTTCACTTTCTGGTATGTGGTTTGGTCATTACATCCGTATATGTGCCATGTTGACATGTGGGGGCTGGGGTATGTGGGGGCCGGGGTGCCTCACCTTTGTTGCCATAAGAGCGTGGAGCTGATTTTCTGTGTTGTCCTCCATGGCAGCTTCCCGCTCCAGGGTCTCCAAATCTTCCAGGGAGTACCTGACGGGAGGGGGACTACACTTCAATTATCAAAGAAGTTCAACAGTAACAAATGATCATGTATTGCAAATATATTAGAGTTACAATTGGGGGGAAATGTCTCTGGAGCAGCAGGGTTGTGGAATCGAGGCACCGTCCATGGAGGGACGTCGCCTCCACACGCACGCCTAGCCCATGGAGCAGGGCGCGCGCGTGTCTGAGGGAGACCCCAGGACGATGGTTCGATTCCCGCCAACCTGCTTCAAAGGCTTTCCTCTTAGATACATCAGGTTATCGCGATTTCATTGTGTGGAGGTGGAGTAAGCTGGGCTCACCTAAGGGCACGCCGGTCGAGGAGCATAGGCAGGAGAGAGGAGTCCTGCTCGGTCATTGTATCTGCAATGTCGTCACCGGCGGTGTTGTCGTACCACGTCCCTTCATCGTCGTTGTAGGAATTGTAGTCGTAGGTGTAATCATCACTAGCAGCAGTCAGGAAGGGCAGTAGTGCGGCCAGAGTCTCCTAGGGGGCGACACAACAAACATGCGAATTAACGAAACAGTACAAGGGCTATTAGCCCCATGTGTGGCGCTTCCTATTGGCCCACATGAGGCAGCTCCTGTTTGTATCCACCCAAATGCAGTCATATACATGTTTAACCTTCTAGCAATCCCCACGTCTATCATATTACCAGGTCCTTTGTTTTATAAATCAACCCTATTCCAAACCAGTATTTACCCCTGTCTTTCCTAAACGTAAACTTATACAATTTATATCCAATATTATGTGTTGACATATATATGAACAACACAACAGTGTTATGAAACTAGAAGCACCGAGGATCAAATTAAACAATATATGTATTACAAGTTTTAAAGCTAGCTTTTTTTAACCTTGAAGGGGGGGCTACTCACTGCATTTATCCTAGGGCGGGGGGCACCGTAGGTGTACCTCTTGCTGGGCTGGTACTCTGGTAGGGCGTACTGGTCCTCCGTGTACCCCAGTAGGTAGTCTCCCAGGCCGGCCTCCAGCAGTGGGTCCCGGCCTCTTCCGCCGCTCCTGGAGGCCACGCCCCTGGTGTAGGGGTAGCCTAGCGTCGGGCCTGTCAGCGTCAGCACCAACAACGACGTCAGCACCTTCGTGTTTTCCATCTGAAGAAAGCCGAGGGACTCGTGAATTACCTCCTTTGATGAGAGCAAATTGGATCATTTAAGTAATTAGATTAAAATCAACCGATTAAATCCGGCTAAACGCTAACGGGATTATTTTTTTTTACAATAATATAGAATTTGCCGTTATAGAAGTGTAGTCTATTGGTGGTAAACCATTTGGTTTCCGGTATAGTTTACCATTGGTTTCCAAAAGTGTACCGTCGGTTTCCAACGCAGTTAACCGTTGGTTTCTGATTAAGAGAAAGGATGCCTTCCCGTCTCATCTTTGTCTGCATTTTATTAAACAATAGTATTGACATTTTAAAATAACACAAAAATGTTTTTTTTGTGCCTTACAACGTTTGAGTTCGATTACTTTTTACATAGTTTGCTATCCCGTGACGCGAGACATTGCTCCATATTTTGAAATACTGGCCCTCTTCAAGGGATGCGAAACGTGACCATATACTTAGTTAAGTTAAATTTGGCTTGTTAAATTATAGTTAAGGTAGGTCGAATTGGATTGTTAGGGTAGATTATGATTGGCTAGGTCAACTAACCACAGAAGGGTGTTATACACCACTAGGGACAACTGAAACTAAGCCCTTACGGACGAACCAATTAAATACCGAAATAGCATACTGTCGAGTGAATATTTAATGCCGCTCAGGGCTTGTGGTAGCGTGCTCTTAAACGCGACCTAAAAACCCTAATTAGTCAAAAGATATACATTTGTATGTTGGTTTTCCAGCTGGCTTTTGTTGTTCTGGTACTGTAGTTATTCTAGGGGTACTGTCATTGTACTGGGGGTACTGTCGTTGTCCTGGTGGTTCTAATTGCCTTGTGGTGCCCTAAAGCTGACTTAAGCAAGCCATAGTTCTGATTAGTTCATTCCAAACAAAGACAACATTCAGGAACTCGCGGGTGGGCGTGGAAGGGGCGGCACCCCCCTTTTCCCACACCCACCCGTTTAGGTGACGATCTTGTGGAAGGGGCGGGGGCCGCCAACGCCCCCTTCCACCTGGGCGTGAGCTCAGGTAGGAATTAATCATGGCGGGACGAATCCCGATTTAGACCCCACACAAGACCTTTAAGGAGAGTCGTCATTGGCTCACTATATATAGCTGTGGTCCACTGCGGCAGTGTGGTGGACGCCACACCGTCAAGGTCAGCAGGGTGTGTGTGTGTGTGGCGACATCAAATATAGCGTGTCAAGTCACAATCATCGTATAGATTAACCAAGCTGTGCGTGCCGGCAGACAGTCAATCTTTATTGCTGCTTGTGGTGGGCAACAGAATATCTGAGCCTTTCCTTTCTACAGTGAAGAATACATATATCCAGTTTCCCATTTTTTTCTTAATTCACTGGTTAATGGGAAAAATAAGTTCGAAATAAAATACCGTAGAGAGGTTGAATTAATTAATGCATTCCTTGTGGCCAAGTGGGTTTGGTGTTGGGGTGTTGGGCTTAAGACTTATCAACCTCTGGAGGGTTATTAAGTCCACTACAATAGCTTACTGGCCAACCAGCTAGTTTGGTGTTGGGCTTAAGACTTATCAACCTCTGGAGGGTTATTAAGGCCACTACAATAGCTTACTGGCCAACCAGCTAGTTTGGTGTTGGGCTTAAGACCTATCAACCTCTAGGAGGTTATTAAGGCCACTACAATAGCTTACTGGCCAACCAGCAAGTATACTTTAGTTCTGAGGATTGTCTGGGACAAAGGTAACCTCAATACATACACCGAGAAATAGGGTAAACCTCTCGATGTACAAGGAGAAAAATCTGGTTCGGAGAAGCGCAGTTGCCAACCTGGCGAGCATTGAAGTCTCCAATCCCAAACGCGTCTCTCTCTCTCTCTCTTTCACACACACACACACACACACACACACACACACACACACACACACACACACACACACACACACACTCCTTACCTTAAAGTTCAACAAGTCCAGAGTTGCTTCTTCTTAAGTATCACTAATATGTTCAGCACTTAGTAATATCGATTCCAAGTTATCTCAAGTCCCGACTTTAAGCACAAAGTTGTAAGATGTTTTGAGAGTGTTGTCCTCCGCGGTGGTCCTCCTCTCTCTCTCTCTCTCTCTCTCGCGGTCTCTCTCTTTCTCTCTCTCTCTCTGGTTCACTTGCCGTGGTTCCGTCAGGAGAAGTGGACCTACAGTTCCGCCCCGGCTTTATATATGCGCTTGGGCTGCGCAGGCAGCTTCCTCCTACGCTCTCCAATTCACACTTTCTTTCATCTATTCAGGATGGCTGGGAATGTAAGGCGAGCAGTGATTGGTTGCGCCTCTGGTAAACTATTGATTACTACGCGCTCCAGTCACCAATGGGAGTGTAGGACGCCTTTGACGTCAAGAGCTGGACCAATCAGCGGGCCGCTCCTGACCAGGACTCCACTTCGTTCAGAGAATCTGGTCTTGCAGAAGGGTTGACGTCACGGTGCCGAGGCAAGAGCGGCATTAGGGTCACGGGAAACTGAACCAGCTTCGAAATGGTTCCAGCAGCCTAAAGAATCCAAAAATAGATCACAGTTGTTCAACCTGAATCGCAGCAGGGCCTGGACCCGGCCCCCCTCCCCCCCTCCCCCCTTCCTCTCCACCCACGCACATTACCCACACACCCACACGCCCACCACCCACACACCCACCGCCCACGCCAACCACCCACACCCTACGTAAACACACATACTACTTACTGCCGCTTCCTACCTTGTCCTAAAATAGCAACACACACACATATACAGATCAAAACAAACTCATCATTCAGACCCCATCATCCATTCACCCCATCTTTACAAAGTCATTCATATTCATTCACACGTTCCGTATGTACCACCAACACCACCCACGCCACTATTTCAACCACCATCCATGCCAGCATCCATCCCGTCTTCCAAATCCACCACCCACACCTCCCTCCTGCGTCAATCAACTACCATCAGTGCCCACTCCCACACAACACCTATGCATAAGGCCTATTGGTTCCAACGAGGCAGCTCCTATTGGCCTATACGAGACAGCTCCTGTTGGCCTATACGAGGCAGCTCCTGTTGGCCCATACGAGGCAGCTCCTGTTGGTCCATACGAGGCAGCTCCAATTAGCCCATACGAGGCAGCTCCTGTTGGTCCATACGAGGCAGCTCCTGTTGGCCCATACGAAGCAGCTCCTGTTGGCCTATACGAGGCAGCTCCTGTTGGCCCATACGAAGCAGCTCCTGTTGGCCCATACGAGGCAGCTCCTGTTGGTCCATACGAGGCAGCTCCTGTTGGCCCATACGAGGCAGCTCCTGTTGGCCCATACGAGGCAGCTCCTGTTGGTCCATACGAGGCAGCTCCTGTTGGCCCATACGAGGCAGCTCCTGTTGGTCCATACGAGGCAGCTCCAATTAGCCCATACGAGGCAGCTCCAATTGGCCCATACGAGGCAGCTTCTACTGGCCCATACGAGGCAGCCCCTATTGGTCCATACGAGGCAGCTCCTATTGGTCCATACGAGGCAGCTCCTGTTGGTCTATACGAGGCAGCTCCAATTGGCCCATACGAGGCAGCTCCTACTGGCCCATACGAGGCAGCCCCTATTGGTCCATACGAGGCAGCCCCTATTGGTCCATACGAGGCAGCTCCTATTGGTCCATACGAGGCAGCTCCTGTTGGTCTATACGGGGCAGCTCTTATTGGTCCATACGAGGCAGCTCCTGTTGGCCCATACGAGGCAGCACCTATTTACATCCACCCAAACTCATCCATTTATATGTCTGACTCAAACCACCCAATCTACTACTAACACCTTCAAGCACCCCACTTCCCGAATCCACCTAACAGATCCACGCCAATTTAACTCCCCCTCCCTCATCATTTATCCATCACCCACACATTAATTTTTTTTTCACTCACTGCCTACGTCAACCAATTACTCGCCCCCTCCAACACCTGTAACATACACCCACGTCAACCATCCACACCCACGTCAACCATCCACACCCACGTCAACCATCCACACCCACGTCAACCATCCACACCCACGTCAATTATTAACAGCTTCCACCCACTCTCGTTCACTTTGAGGATTGAACTATGTGACAGGAGACAAATTCCAGCGTCTGTGGAACACCGTCTGTGTCGCGGGAAGACTAAGTAACACCGTCTGTGTCGCGGGAAGACTAAGTAACACCGTCTGTGACGCGGGAAGGACTATGTAACACCGTCTGTATCGCGGGAGGACTATGTAACACCGTCTGTGTCGCGGGAAGGACTATGTAACACCATCTGTGTCGCGGGAGGACTATGTAACACCATCTGTGTCGCGGGAGGACTTTGTAACACCATCTGTGTCGCGGGAAGGACTATGTAACACCATCTGTGTCGCGGGAAGGACTATGTAACGCCATCTGTGTCGCGGGAAGGACTATGTAACACCATCTGTGTCGCGGGAGGACTTTGTAACACCATCTGTGTCGCGGGAAGGACTATGTAACACCATCTGTGTCGCGGGAGGACTATGTAACACCATCTGTGTCGCGGGAGGACTTTGTAACACCATCTGTGTCGCGGGAAGGACTATGTAACACCATCTGTGTCGCGGGAAGGACTATGTAACACCATCTGTGTCGCGGGAAGGACTATGTAACACCGTCTGTATCGCGGGAGGACTATGTAACACCGTCTGTGTCGCGGGAAGGACTATGTAACACCATCTGTGTCGCGGGAGGACTATGTAACACCATCTGTGTCGCGGGAGGACTATGTAACACCATCTGTGTCGCGGGAAGGACTATGTAACCCAATCTGTGTCGCGGGATATTAAAAAGGCGCCAAATATCACTCAGTCTGCCAGCACGAGAACCAAAGGATGACTATATAAGACTATGGGAAGACTAGTCTTCCCGCGACACAGACGGTGTTACATAGTCTTCAAATGTAAAACTAGTCTTACATAGTCTTCCCAAAGGACACTAGGCGAACGACCTCAAGGATTCTGTCTAGAGACGGGCGATCCGTAGGGACACAAGGAGAGCAAGACGTTCGACCCTCCTGAAAACCAGGACATTCTACAAGGAGGTGCACGACTAAGAGACAATGCAGTTGGGACGAAGAGCAGCCGGACGGTGCTCCACCATCATGCCTCCGCGAGTTAAGTGGGTATAGCCCATAGTTAACCTAGCCAGAGCCGGTTCACACCGTATTTCGGTGGTAGGAGGAAGGTCAAGGGAAATGGTCATTTCTAAATGAACGCAGTTCGTTATCTATATGTTGTTGTTAAAGATTTGCTACCTGGAACAAAGTTCCAAGTAGCACGGGCTATGGTGAGCCCGTAGTGCCTTATTTTATCTGTAGCGCCAGACCGACGAGCCCGGCGAGCAGTCGCGGATAACAAAATGAATGGTTAGGTAAAAATCTCAACAAGCCGTTCCTTTTTTGAGGAAATGCTGCTCCTATTAATGGCCTCCATAGCGGCAGTGTCCGCAAGTTCATTCGAGGTAACTCCAATATAACTCAGCAAGATTTGACTGTCTTAAATCTGCTAGATACAAGGAACAACGGACCAGTATTATATTTCCGTCTCAACGGGATGCAAAGGGATAAAAAGATTCCAGAGCCATGAGTCACCGCGAGTGTCACCCACAATGAGACAGCAACGTTGACGCCAGAAGAAAAAAAGAACAGCTGACGAAGATCATACAAAACTGCATGAAGTACCGCCGTAAACATATGCTGGTCTTCGGAGGGCCAAGCGGCACATCGAGGTTTGATCAGGAAGGTGAACGGAGTTGCCAACACACTCGGCAGACTTCGACCCGTGTGCAATGTTGTGTGAGCGAAAAGTGCTCAATAACAAGGTGTTTCGTAACAATAGGAAGGGAAGAAAGCGTCAGGAATGATAGGGTGGCATATTCCGGTGTCAGGATTTGTATACTACCTATGCGAGTATGCACTCCTGGCATGGAACCCATCCTCGGGTTAAGCTCGTCCAAGCTGTGGCCGACCCCAACCTCCCCCCTCTTACATCCTCAGGCTATGGCTGTCAAACCCGACAGACGTCCCCAAAGGCGCATTCATCAATATTATTGTACTATGACCCAAAAATGATATTTTTCTCGAATATAAATTAATGTATATTAAAATTTTAGGCACGGTTAGACCTAAGACAGATTTAGTGCTTATGTTCTTTTGCCAATTATTTGTATTTTCAGTAATTGGGTACAGCAATTCGATTCTAATACAGGAATGAGCGAAGCACTCTTTGAGTAGTGTCTGCGCACCGAGAGCTGTACTCTCTTTCTCGGTGTTTAAACACTGAGAGTATAGTGTACTCTCAGAGGTATACTGAGAGTATAGTACGCTCTCAGAGTATACCGTAGAGAATACTTGTTGGTTAGTCATTTAGCTAGTGTCACAGCCTCGTTAATCCGCTTGCAGCTATATAATAATAATAATAATAATAATAATAATAATAATAATAATAATAATAATAATAATAATTATTTAATAATACTAATTTATACATTTGTTAAATTAACAAAATTGTCAAAAAACAAATTTACAAAATATATTAAAATTGTGATAAGGGTACTATTGTCATATTAATTACTTAATTTGTCTGTATTTACATGAAAATAGAGTTAAATTATATAAATAATTATATTATATGTATAAGAAAGATTACTACATATTGTTAATTTACAGTGGTCGATAAACCTGGGAACCAACACCAAACAAATTTAAACTAACAGTGAGAGATACAGTTAGGTGGAAATTATCCTCTATGCCGTATTACAGGGAAGTAATTTGATGTTACTGACCACATCACTAAAATTTTTGTGATATCGTGAAATTAAAATCGCTAAATTGAACGATACCTGATTTTGTTCATTTTGCATCCCCATATATATCGTATGCGAGGTTGCTGAATCCCATACCCAACCTGTGGGCGATAGTGAACCCCATACTCATCCTGTGAGTGTGAACTGGTTCCCATACTCATCCTGTGGGCCAAAATGGACCCCATACCCATCTCGTGGATGATAGTGGAGAAGGTTACAAAGGCACATAATGGGTTTAAGAAGTGAACCAGAAAGTTTATCTAGCTAAGCACGTTACAGTCTTGATAAGCAAGTAACACAATTTTATGCACATTTCATCAGTCGTTC